AAACGTTCGGGGTGTTTCTGACTGTCCTTCCCCCTTTCATAAACACTGCAGAAGGGAAACGGCTTTTAGCGTTGCTGCTCAAGCACCAATTCCGCTGGAATGTCTCCACCACACCAGTGGGAGATGGGGTACGGTGGACAGCATTTTCAATGTTTGCCAGGCTGGGTCGGAGCGGGGCAGAGGTCGCTGCTGCATAATACAAAACGCACCACACTCCGCGTCTGTAGGAGGCAAAGGCTCCAGCGTGCACGAGTTGTGAAACAGTGCGAGAGACCCGCCCGAAGCCAGACATTCCCAGAGGTCACGCGAGGGTCGTGCCGAAACAAAAAGGGAAAAAGGGGCAAATGTTGAACCGCCTGTGGTATGGAAAATGAAACAGAAGGACAAGGAACGGTTGCGATTGGCTCTTGAAGGGTTTAAAGCTGAAGTATACATTTGTCGGCAGGGTTTTGGGTTTAGGGAGTGCGCCCCACAGGTTTGGGGCAACTTTTCAAATTTCAAAAGATTTTGAACCCCTCCTTTCAAATGTATACCCGAGCTTTAACAGTTCGAAATTACAGCTGGCTGTCTTGCAAATGTGCTTCCTGTCGGTTGTGTGACATGTGAAACTGGCATGTGCTGGACGAGTCAGTGGCGATGTGAGACACACGCAATCAGATGTACAGAAATGTTTTTCTGGGGCAGATGCGGGCCAAAAACTGCCGATTATGTACAGTAGGCTCCCCCACTGTCTACACGTACGTTCACGAAGTTGGCCCACTCCCACAAAAATGGTACCGTGCGGTGAAACAGCAGTTTGATGCGTGAAGCCATGGTACAGTGGAGAAAGGGCAGGACACTATGGCAATCATCACTGTAAATGGCTACAATGCACACACACAATCAGTCACAAGAGTTTCAATAATTCTAGTTTCACCTACACAAATTTCCACATCTTCCCTGCTTTAGTCTCTCCATTATTGCTCATGCCTGTTGAAGTGACTATTTGGTAAAAGGCAAACACAATGTTGTAGCTGTATACATCACTTAGTCCCTCATTTGTTCCCACAATCATTCAGAATCCACAGAGCCAAAAATATAATCGCGACCTTATTTTTAGAAGCCCGACACTGTCTACTAAAAGCGAGCAAACAAGATTAGGTTGCAGTTGAAAGGCAAAGCTGTCTTATTAAGAGGCTACTACAGCCAAAAAAGAAGACAATGACATGCGCCATGAATATTTATGGTGCACAACGTTTCCATTCAACAAATGCAGCAATTATTGCCTCCGCTGTGCATGAAACGCTTGAAGCTTTCGCTGTGCTTGCATTATCTGCTTGCATCACAAAAAAGACGAGGGGTGGGGGACGGAGGAGGGAGGGAGGGGGGAGGGAGAGGGGGAGGGAGAGGGGGAGGGAGAGGTTCGTAAAGAAAATGTGCTTCAGGGTGGATGGAATAAAGGTGAGCAAAAAGATGGTGAATGAAAAGATGGTGAACGAAAGCAGGAAAACGAGCCGGAGATTTAAGCCTAACTTTCAAAATGGAATGCAGAACTGGTGTATGAGCAGTGCTGTTGAGATGAGATGAAGGGAAGAGAAGAGGAGGGGCTGAAGGGTTACACAAAAATGTGATATGACGACAAGTGGGGAGGTTGCAGATGCAGGAACTGCCGTGGTTTGCAAATAACAAGGGCAAGTTTCTGCAGTGCAAGCTAACGAAGGAACTGTCTATAGGGGGGATACTATGAGGAAAGTTCGAGTTGGAAACTGTAGGGCACTCACATAAGAGGGTACTAAGGGGTACTTTGGGGTACTATGGGGTACTACGGGGTACAAAGGGGGATACTATGGGGTACTAAGGGGTACTATGGGTACTATGGGGTACTAAGGGGTATTAAGGGGCACTCACGTTAAGAGGGCATGGGCACAAAGAGACACTCACATTCTGCTGTTTTGATGCCTGCTTCTGCTCCAGCTGCTTCAGTGCCCCTTCCAACCGCCTACTGACTTTTGAGTCGAGTCAAAAGAATGGGTCACTACAGGGCGCTCACACTGAGAATAGGGCACTGCGGGGCACTGTGGGGTGGGGCACTCACATCCTGCTGTTTCGACGCCTGTTTCTGCTCCAGCTGCTTCAGTGCCCCCTCCAGCCGTTTACTGCAATGTAATGAATTTGGATGTGCGTGAATTCATTTAAATTTCGTGTGCATACATGTCGTTGCACGTAAAAACTGTAGAGAGTGGGCGGCGGAACATATGGCATGGTCACATCACATGGCATGGTCGCATCACGTGGCATGGTCACATCACGAGGCATGGTCACATCACGTGGCATGGTCACATCACGTGGCATGGTCACATCACGTAGGGCTCTCCAGCTTTAGATTCATACCTGTCACTCACACTTCAAATCACACAATGGAAGGCCAAACCACCTTCCCCCCATGCACAGCATCTGCACAGGCACTCACACAAATGTCACGCACAGCACACAAATCCCAAACCCCCTTCCCCCCATGCACAGCATCTGCACAGGCACTCACACAAATGTCACGCACAGCACACACATCCCAAACCCCCTTCCCCCCATGCACAGCATCTGCACAGGCACTCACACAAATGTCACGCACAGCACACAAATCCCAAACCACCTTCCCCCCATGCACAGCATCTGCACAGGCACTCACACAAATGTCACGCACAGCACACAAATCCCAAACCCCCTTCCCCCCATGCACAGCATCTGCACAGGCACTCACACAAATGTCACGCACAGCACACAAATCCCAAACCCCCTTCCCCCCATGCACAGCATCTGCACAGGCACTCACACAAATGTCACGCACAGCACACAAATCCCAAACCCCCTTCCCCCCATGCACAGCATCTGCACAGGCACTCACACAAATGTCACGCACAGCACACAAATCCCAAACCCCCTTCCCCCCATGCACAGCATCTGCACAGGCACTCACACAAATGTCACGCACAGCACACAAATCCCAAACCACCTTCCCCCCATGCACAGCATCTGCACAGGCACTCACACAAATGTCACGCACAGCACACAAATCCCAAACCCCCTTCCCCCCATGCACAGCATCTGCACAGGCACTCACACAAATGTCACGCACAGCACACAAATCCCAAACCACCTTCCCCCCATGCACAGCATCTGCACAGGCACTCACACAAATGTCACGCACAGCACACAAATCCCAAACCACCTTCCCCCCATGCACAGCATCTGCACAGGCACTCACACAAATGTCACGCACAGCACACAAATCCCAAACCCCCTTCCCCCCATGCACAGCATCTGCACAGGCACTCACACAAATGTCACGCACAGCACACAAATCCCAAACCCCCTTCCCCCCATGCACAGCATCTGCACAGGCACTCACACAAATGTCACGCACAGCACACACATCCCAAACCCCCTTCCCCCCATGCACAGCATCTGCACAGGCACTCACACAAATGTCACGCACAGCACACAAATCCCAAACCCCCTTCCCCCCATGCACAGCATCTGCACAGGCACTCACACAAATGTCACGCACAGCACACACATCCCAAACCCCCTTCCCCCCATGCACAGCATCTGCACAGGCACTCACACAAATGTCACGCACAGCACACAAATCCCAAACCCCCTTCCCCCCATGCACAGCATCTGCACAGGCACTCACACAAACACCCCCTCTCCCTGCTGCCCCTCCACCCCACCCACCCACACACACACTCACTCACACTTCAGTGGAGATAAATATTCGAGCCGCTTCGCAACACTGTCTCTGGCATCTGCCATGTTTTGAGGCGCCAGCACCAGCACCCACAGACATCCACGCACTGGCCTCACACGAGTGGCATTCACAGGAGCATCCCCACACACCCATTCCCACCTACACACTCACACTTCCCATTCCCACCTACACACACACACTTCCCATTCCCTTCCCATTCCCACCTACACACAGACTTCCTATTCCCACCCATCGCCACACTCACACTTCACTGGAGATGTACTCAAGCCGCTTCGACACATTTGCCCGCGCCTCTGCCAGGTCTTGAGGCACGAGCAGCCACTCAAATGAATGTCATGTCATGCACAGCACTCCCTCCCTCCAGCCCGCCCCCCCCCTCCCTCTACACACCCACGCTCACTCACACTTCACTAGAGATGTACTCTAGCCGCTTTGACGCATTCGCCCGCGCCTCTGCCAGGTCCTGAGGCAGCATGCACAGCCACTCACAGTAATGAGATGCACAGCCACTCACAGTAATGAGATGCACAGCCACTCACAGTAATGAGATGCACAGCCACTCACAGTAATGAGATGCACAGCCACTCACAGTAATGAGATGCACAGCCACTCACAGTAATGAGATGCACAGCCACTCACAGTAATGAGATGCACAGCCACTCACAGTAATGAGATGCACAGCCACTCACAGTAATGAGATGCACAGCCACTCACAGTAATGAGATGCACAGCCACTCACAGTAATGAGATGCACAGCCACTCACAGTAATGAGATGCACAGCCACTCACAGTAATGAGATGCACAGCACCCTCCTCCCTCCACCTCCACCCCCTCCCCCCCTCCCCCTCCTCCTCCCTCCACACCACACCGCCACAAACTCACACTTCACTGGAGATGTATTCTAGCCGCTTCGACACATTCGCACGGGCCTCTGCCAGGTCCTGAGGCACGAGCACCGGACCGATCAGCTTGAACACCCTCGCATCTTCCTCTAGTAGCTCCAGCTCCTGGCGGGGAGAGGGGTGGGAGAAGAGGGGGGTGGGAGGAATGGCGAGGGGCAATTGAAAGGTCTTGAAGCATGGGCACCGGGCCGATGAGCTTGAACACCTTGGCGTCCTTCTCTAGTGAATCCAACTCCTGGTGAGCAGAGGGTTGGGAGGACGAGATAAGAGGAGAGGCGTGGGGCAGTCGCAAGGTGTTGTGGAGGCACGAGCACCGGGCCGATGAGCTTGAACACCCTCGCGACCTCCTCTAGTAGCTCCAGCTCCTGGCGAGGAGAGGGAGCGGCAGGGGGGAAGGAGGGCAGTTGAAGTGTAGAGGAGAAGGGCTGTTGACGGCACACGCCTCTGCCAGGTCTTGCGGCACGAGCACCGGGCCGATCAGCTTGAACACCCTCGCATCCTCCTCTAGTAGCTCCAGCTCTTGAAGCGGCGATGCGAGGGGCGGTTCAAGTTGAGAGACGAGAGGAAAGCGGCTGGTCGAAGGGTCTTGTGGCACGAGCACAGGGCCGATGAGCTTGAACACCCTGGCGTCTTCCTCTAATAGGTCCAGCTCCTGGCGAGGAGAGTGAGAGAGAAGGGACGGTTAAAGTGGAGAGGAGAGGGAGGTGAGGTGCGGTGCGGTGCGGTGCGGGGCACGGCTGATACCATATCGCGTTGAGACCACCACCCGTATCATAGCCATTCAACATAAGCACATCCCACTGGTATCACATTCTGCTGCAGTTCCAACATCACATTCCTCCGTTACAGTCAGCCTCTTTTGCACCATCTCGTCACATCCCAGTACAAAGTCGCTCAGCCGCAACACAGTACCACACCCCCCCTCCCGCCCATGACCACCCGTTATAATCGCATCCCACTGTTACCGCCACAGTCACACACACCTTCTGCACCATCTCGTTCTCGTTCAGCTGCAGGCTGTACTGCCGCCGCACCTTCTACACTCACTACTCACTATAATCTCATTCCATTACTGTACCAACACCACATTCCGCTACAGTCACACACACCTTCTGCACCATCTCGTTCTCGTTCAGCTGCAGGCTGTACTGCCGCCGCACCTTCTACACTCACTACTCACTATAATCTCATTCCATTACTGTACCAACACCACATTCCGCTACAGTCACACTCACCTTCTGCACCATCTCGTTCTCGTTCAGCTGCAGGCTGTACTGCCGCCGCACCTTCTACACTCACTACTCACTATAATCTCATTCCATTACTGTACCAACACCACATTCCGCTACAGTCACACACACCTTCTGCACCATCTCGTTCTCGTTCAGCTGCAGGCTGTACTGCCGCCGCACCTTCTACACTCACTACTCACTATAATCTCATTCCATTACTGTACCAACACCACATTCCGCTACAGTCACACACACCTTCTGCACCATCTCGTTCTCGTTCAGCTGCAGGCTGTACTGCCGCCGCACCTTCTACACTCACTACTCACTATAATCTCATTCCATTACTGTACCAACACCACATTCCGCTACAGTCACACTCACCTTCTGCACCATCTCGTTCTCGTTCAGCTGCAGGCTGTACTGCCGCCGCACCTTCTACACTCACTACTCACTATAATCTCATTCCATTACTGTACCAACACCACATTCCGCTACAGTCACACACACCTTCTGCACCATCTCGTTCTCGTTCAGCTGCAGGCTGTAATGCCGCCGCACCTTCTACACTCACTACTCACTATAATCTCATTCCATTACTGTACCAACACCACATTCCGCTACAGTCACACACACCTTCTGCACCATCTCGTTCTCGTTCAGCTGCAGGCTGTACTGCCGCCGCACCTTCTACACTCACTACTCACTATAATCTCATTCCATTACTGTACCAACACCACATTCCGCTACAGTCACACACACCTTCTGCACCATCTCGTTCTCGTTCAGCTGCAGGCTGTACTGCCGCCGCACCTTCTACACTCACTACTCACTATAATCTCATTCCATTACTGTACCAACACCACATTCCGCTACAGTCACACACACCTTCTGCACCATCTCGTTCTCGTTCAGCTGCAGGCTGTACTGCCGCCGCACCTTCTACACTCACTACTCACTATAATCTCATTCCATTACTGTACCAACACCACATTCCGCTACAGTCACACACACCTTCTGCACCATCTCGTTCTCGTTCAGCTGCAGGCTGTACTGCCGCCGCACCTTCTACACTCACTACTCACTATAATCTCATTCCATTACTGTACCAACACCACATTCCGCTACAGTCACACTCACCTTCTGCACCATCTCGTTCTCGTTCAGCTGCAGGCTGTACTGCCGCCGCACCTTGTGGTTGCGCGAAATGTCTGTTGTGGGAAGGGAGGGGAAGCGGGAGGAGGGGTGCTAGAGGTGTCTATTCAGCAGGCCTCAGCTGCAGGCTGTACTGCCGCCGCACCTTGCGGTTGCGCGAGATGTCTGATACAGGGGAAGGGAATGAGAGGAGGATGAGAAGGGTTTGAGGGGGATAGAGGGGGGAAGGAAGTGAGGGGGGAGCGTGGAGAAGGGGGGGGGGGTGCTAGAGGTGTCTATTCGGCAGGCCTCAGCTGCAGGCTGTACTGCCGCCGCACCTTGTGGTTGCGCGAGGTGTCTGCATGTGAATGGGAGGGAGTGCGGGAACAGGGCGAGGCATCGCGGGAAAGGAGGGGGGACGGGGGAGAGGGGGAAAGGGAGGGAGGGAGGAGGGGGCGGGGTAGGAATGTGGGGGAAGAAGGGATGGGTGAAAGGGAGCTGAAGTTACATTTCGCGACGTATCTATAGAGAAGACGATAGGGAGCAACGGGAAGGTTCTCGCCTTGATTTATTCTCCGGCCGCTCTTCGTGCGGCTGATCGATGGTTGAGAAAAACGGCGATCAGATTCGATTTTTTCATCTAACGGCTGATCCCCCCCGTCGCCGTTTCCCCCTAATCGATAAGCGGCAATCCGAAAGGATATGCTGAGAATCTAGATCGCGGCGCGTACCCTTCTCCAGGGACCGCAGCGCGTTCACTTCTGCCTCCAGCTGCTGCTGCAACTCTCGCATCGCCGCCGCCATGATTCTCCCGCAACGTCGACGAGACGAGCAGATTCAACAGCGACTGCTCCTTCGTTTCCGTCACAAAGTCTGCTGCGAAAAAAAATCAAACGCTAAAAGCGAACCTGCCGCTGAACAGGGAGTGAATGGAAGGGACGTTGGCTGTGATCGTAAAAAAAAGGAGCTTCTATTCTAGATACTGAGTACTTGTTTATGATCACTTGTCAAGGTGTTCTAGAGACTAGTACAAATTCGGCTCGATGGGTGATAGGGTCTGTGTGGCACAGGATTCCAACGAAAATCTTCGCTTCGGGTGTGACGTATTTCGCAGAAGAATCCGTTGCAAGTTCGCCAGGGGTAATTCTGGAGCTCTCTAGGTTTTCGCAAGCCGAAGAACTTCTGGTGACGAACTGATTAAATGGTAACCACAGATGTGCGCAATTCTTCGTCAAGCAGCAAGGCCCAACAGCTCAGAAAGCCATGGCCAAAAGTTTTCATGCGGCATGGCAGCCATGGATTGCTGATTCAGCTCACACACACTTCAGCTGATCTCATGACCAATAGTCGTACCACCGATGTGCCGGGTGGTTTGTCCCGCGAGCGATCCCATCTCTCTGATCTCAGTTCGTCTCTCGCCTCGAGAAAGTAATCCGTCGATCTAATCCATTCCTGATTCCTCGTCGTGATTCATTCCTAGTTAAATTGCTGCGGCGAAAGGCTCTAAGGTATTCGAGCGGAAGGGGCTTTATTCTGCTCCGTGTTCTTTTTTTCGAGAACTCTTAAAAGAAATCCCGAGATGACTTTTGAGTCAGCTCCAATGTCGTTCCTGCCATGGATCGTCGCGCCGCCAGTGCCTGTTTTACTTCGCTAGTTTACTCATTTAGTCTTTCCTCGGTTCCCAGTTTTGGGTGTAGATCATGCTAGTATTGATTTAGTTTTAGGTGTAGATTACAGTCCGAGCCAGTTCCAGCCCATTCGAGCGCGTTTCAGCCATGAATCCCGCACCGTTGGGTCGAGTCGCGAGCCGGCCGGCAGCTCTGGGTCGCGTGGGGCGAATCCGGCTGCTGCTGGTGGCTCTGGGCGGCGCGATGATCCTCTCGGGCCTCCGATTCGTCAATCGCACGACGAACCTCGTCGCGCCTGCCAGCGACGAATTCGCGAATTTCACGAGCTTCGGCAAGCGATTACGGGGCAGTTCGTCGCCCTCACTCGGTTCCTCTTCTTCCTCCTCCACTGACATCACTTCCGATACAAGCACATCGTCATCATCATCAGTATCATCGTCGTCGTCATCCTCCTCCTCCCCCAACTCGTTGCTCAACGCGCCCGCGCTACAGTCGCAACCAATCGCAGCCGTTCCGCTCTCTCCGAATACCTCTCAACCAGATGAAATCCCCGCCGTTCAATTGCCAGGAAACGGCTTCCAGATCTCAGGAATTGCAGTCCGTCTCCCTCCGTCAAAATATAATGCACAAGAAGCCGGTAGTAACCAGATTGGTAACCCGAGTGGTAACCAGGTCGACCCGGCAGAGGACCCGGTATTGGCGCTGCAGCGTGCGGTGAAGCCCGAGGGGATCAAGTGGCCGCTGCTTGCCGTCACGCCCACCCACGCGCGAGCCATGCAGGTGGGTGGCTTGATGTCGCACAAGCCATGCAGGTGGGTGGCTTGATGTCGCACAAGCCATGCAGGTGGGTGGCTTGATGTCGCACAAGCCATGCAGGTGGGTGGCTTGATGTCGCACAAGCCATGCAGGTGGGTGGCTTGATGTCGCACAAGCCATGCAGGTGGGTGGCTTGATGTCGCACAAGCCATGCAGGTGGGTGGCTTGATGTCGCACAAGCCATGCAGGTGGGTGGCTTGATGTCCCAAGCCATGCAGGTGGGTGGCTTGATGTCGCACAAGCCATGCAGGTGGGTGGCTTGATGTCGCACAAGCCATGCAGGTGGGTGGCTTGATGTCGCACAAGCCATGCAGGTGGGTGGCTTGATGTCGCACAAGCCATGCAGGTGGGTGGCTTGATGTCGCACAAGCCATGCAGGTGGGTGGCTTGATGTCGCACAAGCCATGCAGGTGGGTGGCTTGATGTCGCACAAGCCATGCAGGTGGGTGGCTTGATGTCGCACAAGCCATGCAGGTGGGTGGCTTGATGTCGCACAAGCCATGCAGGTGGGTGGCTTGATGTCCCAAGCCATGCAGGTGGGTGGCTTGATGTCGCACAAGCCATGCAGGTGGGTGGCTTGATGTCGCACAAGCCATGCAGGTGGGTGGCTTGATGTCGCACAAGCCATGCAGGTGGGTGGCTTGATGTCGCACAAGCCATGCAGGTGGGTGGATCGCCCGTCCATCCCTGTCCTCCTTCCCAATCCCCCTTCTCCTCCTCCCCCCTGCACCAGGTGGTCATTCGTGTGGCCGCCTACCTGCGCTCTTAGAGCCGCCACTCTTATTGTGTCCCCTTACCTCCCACCTCCACTCCTCCCCCCTGCACCAGGTGGTCTACTTCATTCGTCTGGCCGCCTATCTGCGCTCGCTGGGACCGCTGGTGCTCTGGATCGTCATAGAGGCGCCTCTTAAGGTACAGTCCTTCCTTGCAGCGAACCTCCTTGTAAGGTGTAGTCCTTGCTGCGATGCGAAAAAACCCCTCTTAAGGTGCAGATTTTTTAGTCGACTCAAAATTCAAGATTCTGATACGAACATGTTTCTGATGCCCTCTAGCCGAAACATGTTTGTCTTGTTTTAGTTTCTGTTAACGATAAGAGATCCGATTTCAAAGACTCTCGGCTATCAGCTAGTGTTAGATTTACACTGTTTTTCCCTACTTGCTTAAGCCTAATCCTAAGCACTGCTGCTCACTGGAAGATATGTCACAAGAACCTTGGAAGAAACACGCGTCAGTCGCTGCAATCAAGCAAGGTGCTTTTGGTAGACACTGAAAGAAATTTAGAAATATTGGTCATATACGTATATATAAGTACATGTACTTCATGGGATATCTCACACCTTTTTCGTGAGTTTTCTTAAAACCTGCTGCTGAAATTCTCCAGTGCTTCATAGGTATCATGCATAGGTACCTATCTCATAGGTATCGATTCCCGCTCCGGTGGCTTACAGTAAGACACAAGGGATAGCACAGCTGCGGAGGTTGCATGCGGTGTGTCTTATTTTTTAGGCGCCTAAAAAATCCTCTGGTGGCTTACAGTAATACCAAAGGGACAGCACAGCTGCGGAAGTTGCATGCATGCAGTGTGTCTTAAACGCACATACCTCCCGAAGTTGATGGAAATAAGGCCTCCGCTCTGCACCCCACCTGTCCATTGTTGACAAGTCCTTACCAGGAAGATGTGGCAGACACCAGGGCTGCGGAAGCTGCATACAGAGTGTCTCTCAAGGTCTCTGAGAAAGGATCCCCCCCCATCCTTTTCAACCTCTCCACCCCTGTACACCCCTGTCCACCCCTGTCGACCCTCCGCTCATGCCTCACCGGCAAGACAGGGTAGACAGCAGGGCTGCCGAAGCTGCATACAGTGTGTCTTTTGATATTGCTAAAAAGGATCTCCCCAACCCTTTCCACCTTCCTTCAACCCCTTTTCACCCCTCTCCACCTCATTCAACCCGCCTCTCCCATGCCTCCCCGGGAAGATAGAGGAGACTGCGGAGCTACTGATGCAGCATGCGGGGCCGCTTTGAGTAGACTTTACAAGGAAAATTTTCATCCCTTTTCACCCCCGTCCATCCCTCTCAATTCCTGTCCACCCCTCGCCACCTCTTCCCACCTCTTCCCACCCCTCTCCACCTCCTCTATGCCTCCCAGAGAAGATAGAGGAGACTACAGAGACAGCACACGGGGTGTTTTCGAGCTACCTTGAAAAACAAGCTATCTTCAACTCTCTCCACCTTCCTTCAAACATTTCGACCCCTCTCCACCTCCCCCATGCCTCCCCGGGAAGACAGAGGAGACCGCAGAGCTGCTGAAGCAGCATGCGGGGGCGTGCCTGCCAGCTGGCGACGCCAGCTGTCGGCGAATCAACTACGTCCACCTGGAAACCCGTCGGGTGAGAGGCGGTTGAGCTGATGTGTGTGCTCTTATTCCGTTAGGTTTTGGAATGTCGCTTTTGTGTGTGTGTGTGTGTGTTTTTTTTTTTTTTTTTTTTTTTTTTTTTTTTTTCCGTCAAATTGTGTTTTCCCGTGGACTTGCATGCATACACACACACGTTTCTTTTGCTTCACTGATTCAATGTATCATCATCATTGCTCCATCCGAATCATAACAACTTCATCGATTTATTTATGCCTTCATTTTTCACATTCTCATCACTGCATGCATGCCTGTCAGAAGTCTAAGCCTTAAGTCTATTCCATATTCATGTATGCAGCATCAGATCGAGACAACCGAATGGAGGCAACGCTGCAGCGCTATGCTTTGCGTGTGCTTTCATTCTTATGATCTGATTCCCTTCCATTCCATTCCTATCATCATTTTACTACATGCACACACCATCAGGTGGAGACGTCCAAGTGTAACAAGGCAGTGCTGCAGCATCATCAACAACATCCTCATGATTACATTGTTGCGATTCTCATCAATGCATGCGTGCCTGTCTTCATTCCGTTCCATGCACACACTTCAGGTGGAGACGTCCAAGTGTAACAAGGCAGTGCTGCAGCATCATCAACAACATCCTCATGATTACATTGTTGCGATTCTCATCAATGCATGCGTGCCTGTCCTCATTCCGTTCCATGCACACACTTCAGGTGGAGACGTCCAAGTGGAACAAGGCAGTGCTGCAGCGCAACGCTGCCCTCGACTTCATTCGGGAGAGGCGCATTCAGGGCGTCGTTTACTTTATGGATGATGACAATGCGTACCTCCCTCAGGTGCGTACCCCTCTCAGGTGTACTGCCAGGTATGAATCACACCGTGTGATCATACTGCCACGTTTCTCACCCTTGCATGTGACGTGAGTGTGCATCTTCACAAGGAGAGGCGCATTCAGGGCGTTGTCTATTTCATGGACGATGACAATGCGTACCTCCCTCAGGTGTGGCTGTAATGCGAAGTAGCTGTAATGTGTAGTGAGTGTAAGGTGAAGTGACTGTAATGAGAATTGGGTGAATTTCGAATTGGCTATTGCAGAGTCAGTGATTCCATGTTTCCAAGAAGATAGGAGGAGTCCAGCCCTCACTGGGTACAATTGTTTGAAAATACTAGTCCTCCCTAACTCTTTTTATTAACAAAAAAATACTATTTCGTTATTATCATTACCACAAATCATTTTTTTTTGAAATAAAATCATTTCTCTCATTGTGCTTATGCTGGTTGAGTTCGGCCTGGTTTTATTATTTTCCAGCACTCATTCTTCTGTTCGAGGAACATCACTCATTCACTTAATTCCGCCGCCCTAGTCATTCTGTTCACGCGTTTGTTTCCACCCTTTTGCGCTTTCACAAGCCCAACTCATTCTCGAGTTCCAGCTCCAAAACGTTTCTCCCATGTTCTTTTTATTTATCTACTCTTCTTGCTTTCCCATGCTTTCCCATGCTTTCCCATGCTTTCCCATGCTTTCCCATGCTTCCCCGTGCTTTCCCATGCTTTCCCATGCTTTCCCATGCTTTCCCATGCTTCCCCGTGCTTTCCCATGCTTTCCCATGCTTTCCCATGCTTTCCCATGCTTTCCCATGCTTTCCCATGCTTTCCCATGCGTTCCCGTGCTTTCCCATGCTTTCCTGAGCTTCCCTGTGCTTTCCCATGCTTTCCTAGGCTTCCCCGTGCTTCCCCACGCTTCCCCATGCTTCCCCACGCTTCCCCATGCTTCCCCACGCTTCCCCATGCTTCCCCACGCTTCCCCATGCTTCCCCATGCTTTCCCATGCTTCCCATGCTTTCCCACAACCCCAGCTCTTTCTAGAGTTTCAGAGCATCCAAAACGTGGGTGTTTTCCCCGTCGGCTTCCTCTACCCGGACGAATACTCGAGGCGAAACAGGCATATACACCACACGCCGACGGTAGAGAGACCGCTTGTAAAGAGGACGGAGAGCGGGGGCCTGCAGGTGTATGGGTGGGAGACGTTTGAGTGGTTCATCTCCAAGGCCAAGCGGAAGTTCAATGTTGACATGGGGGGGTTCGCGTTCCGGTGAGTCTTGTGAGTGGTAGAAGAGAGGCTGCTTGTAATGCGGATGGATGGAGATGGGAGAGGGAGCCTGCAAGTGAACGGATGGGAGACGTTTGAGTGGATCATCTCAAAGGCCAAGCGGAAGTTCAACGTTGACACACTCTCACCCCGCATTGCTGGAGCCACTTTTGAGGATTCTCAAAAGTGATCCTTTTTCTTCTTCTCCCTCTCTTCCCCCCGTCCCTTCCTCCTCCTCCCCTATTGAACGGTCTTTGCAGCTCTGAGCTGCTCTGGCAGAACTGCACAGACCTTCTGAGCTACCCGCACCACCCTGTGTATCCTTTTTCCTTATACTACCCCCCCCCCTTGCCCCCACCCCCCCCTCTGATTCCCTCTTTCCCTGTCTCCCCAGCTCCGAGCTGCTCTGGCAGAACCGTACGGACCTGCCGGGCTACCCGCACCACCCGCTCCGCTTCGAAGCCAGCTGGCAAGGGTCAGTCGCCCCCATGAGTAGTACATGTTTGTTGCCCCCTCCCTGCCCCCTCCCCTGCCCTTTCCCTGCCCCTTCCCTGCCCCCTGCCTTGCCCCCTGCCTTGCCTCCTCCCTGCCCCCTGCCCTGCCACCTTCGTCCCCCCTCCGCGTCCCCTTCCTGCTGGCATGAATAGTACATGACTAATGTCCCCTTCGTGGCCCCTCCCCCACCTCCTCCCTGTCCTTCCCTCCCTGCCCCTGCTGTTATGTTCCACATGCCACTTGTCCAAATGTGCCGCTTGTGAGTTTGCACCTTGTCAGACGAACCTAACATTCCGGTCTTGCTACTCTGCTTCTTGGTTGTGATTCTTTATACTGACCATGTAAGCAGCCAATTGGAAGCGACGTTTTTGAGCCGGTTGGTTCCGGATGCGAGTTATTTGGAGCCGCTAGCTAACGGATGCACGCAAGTGCTGGTGTGGCACCTTCATGTGGAGGCGAATCGACAACACGTGTACCCCATTGGCTGGAGAGTGCCTCAACCCGTTGACCTTGAACCTGCGGATGAATATGACACATGGCGGTTTATTATTGGACGGAAAAGGCACCGAATTAGGGGTCTAGGCCCAAAGGACATGCCGTTTACTTACAGACCATAAATGGGATTTGTTTTGTGAAAACTCCTTCCTGCACACCAGCCTTCGAACTTATTGCACCGTTAGTCATGTCGTGTTCTTAGCGGGGTTCTTTGCACGAGAGGAGGGTTCCAAACCAACAGCTGCCCTGCCCAGCCCTGGCCCATCATCACTCGCAAAAGCACGTCACAATAGTCATAGTTGACGTGGCTCCTGCTGTATGTGGTGAAAATTTGAATTCTTCTGTTTCGCTTCTCACGTGTTTGCCGTCCGCTCATGACTTCATCACAACCCCGTTGGCAGCTAACTCTGACAGCTTGGCCTGAATTACTGAATCTGCGCCGGTAATTCAGGAAGAACCCGAGCCGTGACATCAGCGAGTTTGAACCTTCGGTAACACAACCGTGTCGCGTCACGTGTCACACACATTTGACAGCAGCCGACTCACCACCATCCCAGACCCGCGCCGCGTTACAAGCAATTTCCTTGGCTTATTCCACCACACAGAAACACACCATACCGTTTCAAAACTTTCAAGCCATACCATGTCCAGCCTTGGACTGGCAGGCAGACTTCTCTTCCATCAACTTCCATCACAGACGAACTCTCACATCACTTCCACCTCACACAGATCTGATCAGGTACAGAGAAATCTACACAACCTTCGTTCCTTGTAGAAAGCATTGATCCACTTCCACAAGCCTAAAGCTGCGGTTCCAACCCTAGCAAGTCGAAGACTCGCTCTTTCCTCAACTCACGACGCCTCAGGATGCAATAGATCCTAAGTCAGACAGATCTAGCTGCTTTCAATGGCGTCTCTATTAGGTTTTGAGGAGTGTTGACACGTACTCTGCTCCAATTTCGTTCCGCCTCATTATTTTTCGCTTCTCTAGAGTTGTATCGAACCCGCCAGAATGGAGCCAGTTTCGACCCTCCAGCCTTTCAGCACGAACAAGAAGAGCTCTGTTTTTGAATCTGGTCAGATGTGGGATGTCGGAGCAATGGTGTTAGGAGGCGTTGTTCCAGGGGTTGTGCTTGTAAAGTGCGTGGCTGCTGTGGGAGCCATCGCATTCTCGTCATGGTGCGCCGTGGTGGTGGTGGTTGCTGCCGGCCTCCAACAAATACACAGTAAGTCGAAGGCTCACTACTGTTGACACCCATGGGTATGCCGAAGCAATCCTCGTGCTGCGCATTCTTCGTGAATGCCTTACTCAGTTCTTTTTTCTTTTTTCTTTTCTCTTCTCTTCCCTTTCCCCAGGTTTCGACGCTAACGGCTACGCTCAGCAAGATTACTAGTCAATGCTCACACGATGTAGGTTTGCGCTGAATGGGCATCCGCGAAATTTTCCAGGCATCGCGAGATTAACGCCTTGTAGACTTCAGAGCTGAGGTGACGCCACACAACTGCTTGTCAGCCTCGGAGGTGCTTCACCAGTTTTCCCCCAGCCTTTCACCTGTATAGTGGGTTCCACGTGGAACTGCGTTCAGTATTTGCTTAGGATATATCTGGCATGCGCTTGCCAGTCTGTATATGCCTTGGTGTTTTTGGCCTGTGCATAGTTATTTTTACCCTTGCAGCTGAACGAACTCCCTCAATACCTCAATAGCTAGCACTATTTACACTTCAATAACCTTTCACCAACAGCAGATAACTGGTTGCTTCACTTCACTAGCGATTTCTAACGCCTGCGTTTTAGGTTTGCAGGCATATCTATATTACTTGTATTGTGCCACTCTATTCAGCAGCAAAATCAGGCAGAAATGTCCCAATCCAAACCAACCAGACAGACTACAACACAATTCTGTGTGAATAAGAGAAGCTACATCTCATTGCAAATGAACGTACCGTAACGCACTGCACCGTATCACGATTTCTCCTCCACTCAACACACACCCCACCCCTTCCGCTCGTATACTTACTGCCTGAGCCTCCTATAATGCAAGTTCTGCTTGACCCTTCTCAGACGCTGTCCTACTGCTCGAGTCCTCCCTCCGCTCATTTCGCGTTCGGGGCGGGGTATAATGCATTCGCGTTCTTCGTCCTGTCCTTTGAGTCTCGCTGCTAGCGCACAAGCCCTGTGGGGCGAGCAACTTGAAATGGCCGCCATGGTAGCCGCACACCCCCCTTCCATAGTAATAGCTCCGTGGTTCCGTTTGCACCGAGCATTCTGCTCAACTGTTCCTCCAGGGTCATTTCCGCGTACCCACTTGTATTCCGCGGTTCAGACCGATTTTTACCGATATTTACAGGGGATCTCGTAATTACCGGAATCTACTGTATCTCCCAGCAGCGCAAACAGCTCGACGCGATGACATCGCCTTAGCTCCCTGGGTCTTCTTTCTTGCAACTACGTGCAATTTCATCCATGCAGCATGACAGCGAGGCCGCCAGTTGAGAGCTCTGATTGGAGACTGACGTTGGTCGCTAGCACCCAACTACGGCGCCGGAACCAACTATTACTAGACACTTGCTTTGGCCAATGAATACATTCTGAATCGCACCGTGAAATTCTAAAAGAGAGGGGAAGCAGAGTCAGGAGCAGGCTACGGAACGTCAGGAAGGGGCACATCGTCAGGGAGAGTGCGAAGGTCAGGAAGTAGACGACACAGCGCGAAATAGACGAGGCATCGTTCAGAAACGCAAGACGCACCGCCATCGGCTTTCCGTTATCAAACGGACGGCGCGTCGTCATGGATCCGCCATCGAAGATCATTCCCGTCAGCTTGCGAATCGCGGAAATCGCTTTCGCGGTTGGCTCCATAGGGTGAAGACTTCAAGACTCCAAACCTGCTTTTCCTTGCTTACTGTTTCCTCTCCTCCTCACTCGACCATCGTCATCTCTTCAAGTTGACTCCCGTCGTCTCCGTTTAAAGCACCTATCTGGGTTAGCGTCTGGATTATTTCACGTTCGTCTTGCTGTAATTCCTCCGAATCTCCATTTTTCACTGACTTGCTGCGCACCCACCCTCGCGCCTCACCCACCTGTCTGTTCCTACTGAGACGTCTCAGAATCTTCAAACCAGATGATTCACAGACTCTGGTTGATTCTCGCTCAGTCCACTTGGCTGAATGCTCCCTATTCCTGCACCTCACCCACCTATCCGCTCACACCTCCTCACCCCTCATCACCCCCTCCTCACTCCTCCACACCCCTCTGCACCCCTCCTCACCCGTCCGCATCAGGCTGTCAGTGAAGCTGGACGACCGAATGAGCCAGGCGCCAACGCTTCTGCTCAACCTCACCCTGGGAATGGCGGGGCTCTTTGGGGGTGCCTCCTCACCTCTCTTCACCTTTCCTCGCCCCTCCTCACCCCTGTTCACCCGTCCTCACCCCACTTCACCCCTCCTCACCCGTCCGCATCAGGCTGTCAGTGAAGCTGGACGACCGAATGAGCCAGGCGCCAACTCTTCTGCTCAACCTCACCCTGGGCATGGCGGGACTCTTCACGAGCATGTTACTGTGTTACATCCACACCTCCTGCTTCGTATACCTCCACACGCCTCCTCATCGCCCCTCACCCCTCTTTACCCCTCCTCACCTGTCCGCATCAGGCTGTCACTGAAGCTGGACGACCGAATGAGCCAGGCGCCAACGCTTCTGCTCAACCTCACCCTCGGCATGGCGGGGCTCTTCGCGAGCGCCATGTTACTGTGTTACATCCACACCTCCTGCTTCGCCTACCTCCACACGACCAGGGTGAACCTGCTGCTGCAGGTCATTGAAAGCAACGTGAGTGAGTCTGTACATGCGTTTGCTGTTACATGACTCGTGACTCTCAAGAATACTACAGTTCATGCATATTGTCTGCTCTGACTGCCTCCACACGACCAGGGTGAACCTGCTGCTGCAGGTCGTTGAAAGCAACGTGAGTCCATGCATGCATTTAGCTTTCACATGAGCGCGGCTCTTATGCTAAACTCAACTGTTATGTTATATTGTACAGAAATGATGCCTGCTCGCCCCTGCGTCCCCTGCGTCCCCTGCGTGTCCCTCCGCAGCAGCCTGCGGAAAATGCAGCGTGTTTTGCGACTCCTTACAACGTGACTCAACTCCCTCCCACTCCTGCTCCTCCTACCGCCCACTGATGTCTCCCCTGCTTGTCCCGCTACAGATCTTCACGCTGGTGGTGCTCGCAGCGGCCAGCGCACGTGCCACCGCCATCACTGACTCATATGGGCTTAACTGCAGCGGGTACGTTCGTGCTGCAGTGGGTGCTGCTGGGTGCTGGTGGGTGCGTGTGTGGTAGGGGCGGACAGGCATGGCAAAGCAGGCTGTCTATCTGCCCCATACGTCACACCTGTAAAATCATTCGCCCCGGGTTGTTAACCCAGCTTTTTCACCCGCATGCATCTTGCCTCGGAATAGTGCATCCCCTTGTCATGCCACCCCTTCCCATGCCACCCCTTCCCATGCCACCCCTTCCCATGCCACCCCTTCCCATGCCACCCCTTCCCATGCCACCCCTTCCCATGCCACCCCTTCCCATGCCACCCCTTCCCATGCCACCCCTTCCCATGCCACCCCTTCCCATGCCACCCCTTCCCATGCCACCCCTTCCCATGCCACCCCTTCCCATGCCACCCCTTCCCATGCCACCCCTTCCCATGCCACCCCTTCCCATGCCACCCCTTCCCATGCCACCCCTTCCCATGCCACCCCTTCCCATGCCACCCCTTCCCATGCCACCCCTTCCCATGCCACCCCTTCCCATGCCACCCCTTCCCATGCCACCCCTTCCCATGCCACCCCTTCCCATGCCACCCCTTCCCATGCCACCCCTTCCCATGCCACCCCTTCCCATGCCACCCCTTCCCATGCCACCCCTTCCCATGCCACCCCTTCCCATGCCACCCCTTCCCATGCCACCCCTTCTCATGCCGCCGCCTCTTCCCATGCCACACGTGGCCACCCCTTCCCATGCCACCCCTTCCCATGCCACCCCTTCCCAGGCCACCCCTTCCCAGGCCGCTCCTTCTCATGCCGCCGCCTCTTCCCATGCCACACGTGGCCGCCCTTTCCCGTGCACCCCTTGGCACGGCGCCATGGTCCCCGGGTCAGATAAAATCGTCTTCTTGCCTGTTGGGTCGCGCCAGCGACCTGTTGGCGTTGCTCACGGCGCTCTCCTTTGGGGCTGCCTGCTGGTGAGTTGAGTTGACCCTCTACACCGCACGGTAATGCACAGCACCGCATAGCAGAGCACAGCACAGCACTGGACTTGTAATGCCTGATGGCCGTGCCAATGACCTGCCTGCTGGCGTTGCTCACTGCGCTCTCCTTTGGAGCTGCCTGTTGGTAAGTTGGGTTGTACCGTACAACTTGTACCCTCTACACTGCACGGTATTGCACAGCTCTGCTGGTGAGCGAGATGTGATGCTCGGTGTAACGCGCAGCACAGCACAGCACCGCACAGCACCGCACAGCAGCACATCACAGCACCACACAGCACCACACGGCACCGCACAGCAGCACCGTGCAGCACCGCGGAGCACCGCAGAGCACTTGTAATGCCTGATGGGCCGCACCGCATCAGCCAGCCAGGCACCTGCTGGCCTTGCTCACAGCGCTCTCCTTTGTTGCTGCCTATTGGCAAGTCAGATGCTTACCACACCGCACAGCACCGCACAGCACCGCGTAAAATCACACCGCACAGAACAGTACAGCACTGCACAACACCTGATGGGCCGCACCAGCCAGGCAGGCACCTGCTGACCTTGCTCACAGCACTCTCCTTTGGGGCTGCCTGTTGGCAAGTGAGATTCGTCGTCGACTCTCAACTTCTCACATGCGCTGCGCAGCATGTTTTGTTGTGTGTGTATTCGACTTCTCACATGCGCAACACGTTGTGTTGTGTTGTGTGTGTACGCTGGTGAGTTGAGTCGTTGTATCCTCTACTCTACAGCCGCGCCATCTGTCTCTGCAGGCTGCCTGCTGGTGAGAACGTGATTTTCTGAGGCACCCCAAAACAAGCCCGTATTTTTCTTAGCCCCTTTTCCTCCTCCCCATGGCACCACGCCATATTCTCTCATATTTTTCGCCATCTGTCTCTATAGGCTGCCTGTACCAGTTGTACCTGCCTCCCTCTCTTTCCATGTGACTAATATAACCCCTTGTCCCCCCTCCCCATGGCACCACCACATGTGCTCGCAGGTATTTCGCGATATGCCTCTACAGGCTGCGGCCTCCACCAGTTGTACCTTCCTCGGGGAAGAAAAGCATTAGAAGGGTTGTCACCAGAGGTGGTGGGAAGGGCTCGGTTGAGAGTTCTGAAAGGGCGCCTTCCGAGAGTGAAGGGAAAAGGAGCTTTCGGACGGTGTTCACTGGAGATAGTGGGGAGAGGTCAGTGGTAAGTGTTGAGGGGACGTGCGTTGAGAGTAATGATAAAAGAGGAGGGGTTCAAACGGTGTTCATTGGTGATGTGAGGAGCTTGATTGTACGTGTTGATACGGTGGCACCAAGAAACATTGAGACGCCTTCCGATGAAGATTTTGAAAGGGAAGAAGTTGGGGATATTGATACGGCAGCAGGTGTGGATGTTGAAAGGGCAACAGTTGCAGATATTGAAGCGGCAGCAGCTGGGGATATCAGCATACTAACAGTTGAAAATAGTGAAAGGGCGGCAGTTGGGGAAAACGATGGTGTGGATGTTAACAGGGTAGCAACCGCGGATAATGAATGTGCAGCAGCTAGTGATATTGAAGTGGCAGCATCTGGGGATATTAGAAGGGAAGCAGGTGCTGTTGTTGAAAGGGCAGCAGTAGGGGACACTGAAAGTGCAGCAGAAGTTGGGGATGGGAATATTACAAGGGTATCAGCTGGGGATATTCAGAGAATTACAATCTGGCATGCTGAAAGGGCAGCAGATGGGGACAAGGAGGGTGCAGCAGAAGCTGACTCTGTTATGGCACCAGCTGGAGACATCGAAACGGGGTCGCCCGTGTAAGCATTGTTCAATAACTATGACACCGTGGAGGGAGGAGAGGGTGGGTGGACGGCGGGGGGTAGTGTGAACTTTTTGGTGCCATATACACGTAGTAGCTGACGAAGGATGTTCAACAACTTGTAATGCTTATCGGGTTCAGTGTTTTATTTGCCTCACATGGAGGATATCTAGGAGGGAGGCAGATTGGAATGTGGGGCGTGTGTGATATACTTAACTTTGCCTACGGCTGTTAAAAAACGCACATCAGAATTCTTCGCCGTGCAGCTTATATCGGAGCTTCTCGCGTTCGTCTTTGTCTGACACAAGCACCAATCCCAAGGATGAGCAGCAACTTCTCTCCAGTCCTCTGGAGTTTTTCTATGGTGACGTTCGGCATTCGTCCAAGCTTTCATCGACTTTAATCCTTGGACATTTTCATACACGTCACGCACGTGTCGGAACGCGTCACCACGTGTCAGCAGCCTAGCTGCTGGCATGGCGGCAGTGTGTCATTTTCTCTCCACGATTCCTGGTTCCTCTATGCGACTCGTCAGTCGCCACGTATTAAACGTCGTAGCTCTCCGCCATTGTCGGCCAATCCCCGCTCGAGCCGCTGCACGAGTCGCGAAGGCTCGACCTTGGGAATGCCTCGGACAGGCAATCCGTTTCAAAGTGGCCTCGTCATTAGCGCAGGTTCAGGCAGCTGAAGATATATCATTTTCAGACGAGCTGACCGCACAGGTGGGTTATCCGATACACGGCGGTGAGTCACCGGCGGTAACTTTTGTCTGTTTCCGAGTCCCAGTTTCCCCTCGTCCTAATCGTACCCTCTGTTTGACACGTGGCCCGTGCATTCTCAACGGCTCAAGTGTTTCTTTTTTGCCGTTCGATTACGCAATTCCAGGATGACACGTGGCAAGCGCTGAAGCTGCTCACATTGGAGGACGCCGCGGAGAGTTGCCCGGTAGAAGTGCGCGATGGGGGGAAGACTGGCGGATGGCGGTGAGTGCAAGGAAGGGGGGGGGGGAGAGGGGAGGAGGGGGGAGGAGGGGAGGAAAACCCCATTTTCTTCAGACTTCCTCTTCCCACCATCTCTTCACAATATCTCGCACGGTGCAAATGAAAAGCCTTTTTGTTCCCCTGCCGTTTTCGCATTCACCCCCACCTTGCCCCCTCTTCACTCCCCCTTCCGCCTCCTTTATCCTTCTCACTAACTCTCCTATCCCCCCCAATTCACCCCTCTCCTTCCCTCTTTCCACCTCTTCCCAACTCCGCCACCACTCACCGCACTCCTTCCCTCTCCCCGCCATCCAATCGCTGTTTCCTTTCCTCTGCAGCGGCCTGTACGCCACTCAGCCAATAGAGAAAGGGCACGTGTTCCTTACTGTACTGTACACAAGGATCAGGTCAGTTGTGTATCTCTCTGTTGAGATTTCTCATATGCCTTCCCCACTTCCCCCACTTCCACCACTTCCCTCCACTTCCCAACGCCTCTGATATGTTTCACACACACCCAATCCAAGTTTCCATGCCTTTCACTCACAATGATTGTACTAGAATCACTACTGCTGCCATTTTTCTTATTGCTATTATCATTCTCCATACTGTTTTCTCATATTTTCAACCCATGTCATGATGGATTTCTGTGGGAACCAAATATCTAATGTCAGAACCTTGGAAGTTTATTCTCGCCGCCGTATCTGTTCTCTACCTCCGGTCTTCTCTCTCCTTCCCTTACTTCTCTTTTCATCACGCCAAAAGACGTACGCCCCGGAATGGTTCTTTGTACAAACCATTGCCAGAAGCATCCCTAACCTCGCTTTGTTCTCCCCCACTCTTTATTCTCCTCCCGTCTTCTTTCATTTGCCAATTTGAGTTTTATGATACGCATTCATTGCCCTCCCAATCACCTCATCACCCGTCTTTCCAACAGATGATAACGGGTGACTCGCTGCCTCCACCCCTCGCGTCCCTCCTCGCTCTTTTTTGAGAACTCTTCGGAGTGACAAAATCACTGCCGTCCCAACCACCCCATCACCCCTCTTCCCAACAGATGATAACGGGTGACTCCCTTCCTCCTCCCCTCGCGTCTCTCCTCTCTCCCTCACTCTCCGTGTGGGCCTGCATCGCCCTCTTCCTCCTCCTCCTCCTTTTCCCCTCTCATCCCTTGCCCCCCCTCTCTCATCACCCGTCTTTCCAACAGATGATAACGGGTGATTCTCTTCCTCCTCCCCTCGCCTCCCTCCTCCCGCCCTCACTCTCTGTGTGGGCCCGTATCGCCCTCTTCCTCCTCCTCCGCCCCTCCTCCTCCCCCTCTCATTCCGCCCAACACCAACACCAACAACAACAGCACGATAACAACCACCACCAAGACCAGCACCACCAACAGCAGCACGAGCGCTGGCAGCCGTACATCTCATCGCTCCCGCCATTCAGGGCCGTTGATTCCACGGTCAGTGCTCTCAAACATCATAACCCCCAGCTATGTGTGACCGTTGAGTTGACTCGAACGTCTGAGCATCGACAAACAACAGCACGAGTGCTGGCAGCCGTACATCTCATCGCCCTCCCTCCATCACAGCCGTTGATTCCACGGTCAGTGCTCTTAATCCGAACGGCTAGCCTTGTGTGTCTCTTGAGTCAACAACTCAACACCTCCCTCACCTTTTTTGAGACGTCTCAAAACAGCTAGCCCTGTGTGACTGTTGAGTCAACAACTCAGCACCTCTCTCCCCCTTTCTCTCCTTCCTCGAATGTCTTCTAGGCGCCTTACATATCCGTTTCTCCCCCTCCCAACACCCCCTTCCCCCCCTTCCTTTTATCCCTCCGCCAGGTCAGGTTAGGAGAGCACCGGAGTGCCTTGCTGCCGCTGGTCTTAAACGCGCCTTGAACATTCGTCTCTCCCCCTCCCAAAATAACACACCAGCTCCCCTCCCTCTCCCCCCCCCCCGCCCCCCTCCTTCCTCCCCCCTCCCCCTTCATCAGGTGTGGTGGGGGCAGCACGAGAGAACCATGCTGCTGCTTCTGAGGCGCCCAAACCCTCTTCTTCCTCTTCTCCTCCTCTTTTCCACCATCAGGTGTGGTGGGGGGAGCACGACAGGGCCACGCTGCTGCCATCGCTGTACAATGACACACAAGATCGGACGGCTCTCATTCAATCTGAGTTCGCCACCATCCAATCGGTAAAACACAGCTGATTGCCCCTGCTGCCTTGCCCCTCTTGCTTGCTCACAGTAGCATATCGATCACACTTCTCTCCTCCCGCACCTTCTTGTTGCCCCCCCATTTCCTGGCCTCCCATTTCCTGCCCCCCATTTCCTGGCCCCCCATTTCCTGGTCCCCTGCTCCCTCGTTCCCAATTGTCCCTTTCACCTCACGCCTTCCCCTATTCCCTCCCTCTCTTCTCCTCTTCTCTCCCCCTATTCCCTCCCTCTCTTCTCCTCTTCTCTCCCCCTATTCCCTCCCTCTCTTCTCCTCTTCTCTCCCCCTATTCCCTCCCTCTCTTCTCCTCTTCTCTCCCCCTATTCCCTCCCTCTCTTCTCCTCTTCTCTCCCCCTATTCCCTCCCTCTCTTCTCCTCTTCTCTCCCCCTATTCCCTCCCTCTCTTCTCCTCTTCTCTCCCCCTATCCCCTCCTCCAGACTCCCACCCATCACCCACACCTGCAATCGTTCCTAACTATTCTCACCATTCCACCTACCCATCTTCCCCCTTCCCCCTTCCCCTCTTCGCCCTCCTTCTCGTCTCCCCGTCTCTCCCCAAAATCCCTCCGCCAGTTTATCACCCATCACCCACACCTTCCTTCGTTCCCCGTTTACCCCCCTCACCATTCTACCATTCCTCCTTCTCTTCTCTTCTCTTCTCTTCTCTTCTCTTCTCTTCTCTTCTCTTCTCCTCTTCTCTCCCCCTATTCCCGCCTCCAGACTCTCGCCCATCACCCACACCTGCACTCGTTCCTCCCGAGCCTGACCTACGACCAGTTCTGCCATGCCTACTCGCTAGGTACGGGTTGTGAACTGTTCACCCACAAAGTGCAGGCTGGGGCAGGTGCAGAGTGGGGCAGGTGCAGAGTGGGCAGTCTGGGGGGCAGTCTGGGGGGCAGTCTGGGGTAGCTGACATGTGACCGTGAGAAATAAGGCCAAGAATCTTGCTCACTTGGTATGGAACTGAAGTTCTCCTCCTCACCCTACTCTCTCCCCCACTCTCTCTGACTTACCTCCCTCCTCTGCTCTCTCCCACTCCCTCTTCCTCCACTCTCTCCCACACCTCCCCCATCTGCTGTCTCTCACCCACCTCCCTCCTATCCCTCCTCCCTTTCCCCTCCTCACCATCCCCTCTTGCCTACCACAGGGAATCAAAGCTTCTTATCGCCCCTTCACCTTCACTCCCCCTCCCTTCCCCTCCCCTACCCTCCCCTCCCCTCTCCCACCTGCCACAGCACAGTGTGTTCTCGGGCGTGGGGGATCGAAGCCTTGGGCAATCTGGCTCTCGTGAGTGATTGCTTGTTGCTATTATAAGGTGTTCTCGAAAAGCATGATTCATCAGTCAACTTCAACTACCCTCATAATTTCACAAGTGTTGAATGAAGCTCTAGGCAATCTGGCTCTGGTCTGGTGAATGACTGTAAGCTCCTGTGACAGGTTTGTATTGTTTGTTTTGTTCTTTTTGTTCAATCTTCATACCCTGTTCGTTTCACGGGTGTGGGAGCCTTGTACCCAGACAAGGTAAACCATAAAACCCACACACACACTCTCGCCCGTCCCTCACCACCCCTCACCACCCCTCACCACCCCTCGCCGCCCCTCACCACCCCTCACCGCCCGCCAGGTACCTTTCGCGGACATGATAAACCACAACGCCCACACGCACACTCTGCTGTGTTACGACGAGGAGCAACAAGCTATCGAGGTGCCCTCCCCGCCCCCTATCTCCTCCTCGCCCCCTCTCACCTCCTCGCCCCCTATCTCCTGCTCGCCCCCTATCACCTCCCATCTCCTGCTCGTCCTACTCTTCTGCTGCAACCTCCTAGCTGCACTGGTGTTGAAACTTGTCTCAGCCTTAGCACTCTCTTGCATTTTGCATCACGTATGAACCACATTTTTCCAGCCTCTCAATCTTTAAACCCAAGCGTCCATCCCCTCTCACCCTGCCTGTCTTTCCGAATCCCTTTCTGAACCATTTTTCCTGCCCGCCTTTCTTTTCAGATCATAGCTGACAGAGACTACGAACCAGGGGAGCAGGTGATAAGCGGTGCAGGTGATAAGGGGAGCAGGTGATAAGCGGTGCAGGTGATAAGGGGAGCAGGTGATAAGCGGTGCAGGTGATAAGGGGAGCAGGTGATAAGCGGTGCAGGTGATAAGGGGAGCAGGTGATAAGCGGTGCAGGTGATAAGGGGAGCAGGTGATAAGCGGTGCAGGTGATAAGCGGTGCAGGTGATAAGCGGTGCAGGTGATAAGGGGAGCAGGTGATAAGCAGTGGGGGTGATAAGGGGAGCAGGTGATAAGCGGTGCAGGTGATAAGCGGTGCAGGTGATAAGGGGAGCAGGTGATAAGGGGAGAAGGTGATAAGGGGAGCAGGTGATAATAGGAGAGCAGGTGATAATAGGAGAGCAGGTGATAATAGGAGAGGAGGTGATGGGCAGGCGGTGCAGGTTATTATTAGATTATGTGCAGTTCAATTGTATGATGTGGTGATAGTTATGTTGCCTCTTGACTGTGGTTATGAAGTTTCTCAATGGTCCATCGCTATCTGTCTTGTGAAATGAGGGTGTCCATTGCTATCTGTCCTGTGAAATGAGGGTGTTTTTGAGACGTCTCATTGCTATCATATTGCGTGTCCATTGCTATCTGTCTGGACCTGTCTGGACCTGTCTGGACCGTGAATCACATGCTTCTCACCCCTGAAGTCTTTCCTTCACTTTGTGCCTTCTCCTGTCCTCCGCCCTCCGCCCTCCCACCTCTCCCCCCCGCCATCCGCATCCCCATCTCCTTCCCCCTCTCCTTCCCCCTCCCCATGACCCCTCATACCACGCGGGTGCGAGTGAGCTATGGCGATCTCACCAGCGGTGTGCTGGCTCTTGACTCAGAGCAGCCCCCCACCCCTTCTTTTCCCTCCCGCCTCCGCACTCCCCCTCCCGTGCCCCATCACCCCCCCTCATCCCACCCAGGTGCTAGTGAGCTACGGAGATCTCTCCAGTGGTGTGTTGGCGCTTGACTTTGGCTTCACTGTGCCCAACAACCCGCATGACAGTGTGAGTGGGGCACGACTCTGTGAGTGGGGCACGACTCTGTGAGTGGGGCATGACTCTGTGAGTGGGGCATGACTCTGTGAGTGGGGCACGACCCTGTGAGTGGGGCATGACTCTGTGAGCGGGGCACGACCCTTCCCTGCTGTCACCTGTCCAGTCGACTCAAGAATCTCCAACGGAGTGCTGGCGCTTGACTTTGGCTTCACTGTGCCCGACAACCCGCATGACAGCGTGAGTGAGGCATGGCAGGGCATGGCAATGGCATGACACTTCCCTGTTCCCACCCTCCCAGTGGAGTGTTGGCGCTTGACTTTGGCTTCACTGTGCCCGACAACCCGCATGACAGCGTGAGTGAGGCATGGCAGGGCATGGCAATGGCATGACACTTCCCTGTTCCCACCCTCCCAGTGGAGTGTTGGCGCTTGACTTTGGCCTCACTGTGCCCGACAACCCGCACGACTGTTTGAGTGTGGCTCGACACTCCCCTGCTGTCACCTGTTGAGTCGACTTGGGAGTCTCCAGCTCTTGACTTTGGCCTCACTGTGCCCGACAACCCGCACGACTGTTTGAGTGTGGCTCGACACTCCCCTGCTGTCACCTGTTGAGTCGACTTGGGAGTCTCCAGCGCTTGACTTTGGCCTCACTGTGCCCGACAACCCGCACGACTGTTTGAGTGTGGCTCGACACTCCCCTGCTGTCACCTGTTGAGTCGACTCGGGAGTCTCCAGCTCTTGACTTTGGCCTCACTGTGCCCGACAACCCGCACGACTGTTTGAGTGTGGCTCGACACTCCCCTGCTGTCACCTGTTGAGTCGACTCGGGAGTCTCCAGCGCTTGACTTTGGCCTCACTGTGCCCGACAACCCGCACGACTGTTTGAGTGTGGCTCGACACTCCCCTGCTGTCACCTGTTGAGTCGACTTGGGAGTCTCCAGCTCTTGACTTTGGCCTCACTGTGCCCGACAACCCGCACGACTGTTTGAGTGTGGCTCGACACTCCCCTGCTGTCACCTGTTGAGTCGACTTGGGAGTCTCCAGCTCTTGACTTTGGCCTCACTGTGCCCGACAACCCGCACGACTGTTTGAGTGTGGCTCGACACTCCCCTGCTGTCACCTGTTGAGTCGACTCGGGAATCTCCAGCTCTTGACTTTGGCCTCACTGTGCCCGACAACCCGCACGACTGTTTGAGTGTGGCTCGACACTCCCCTGCTGTCACCTGTTGAGTCGACTTGGGAGTCTCCAGCTCTTGACTTTGGCCTCACTGTGCCCGACAACCCGCACGACTGTTTGAGTGTGGCTCGACACTCCCCTGCTGTCACCTGTTGAGTCGACTTGGGAGTCTCCAGCGCTTGACTTTGGCCTCACTGTGCCCGACAACCCGCACGACTGTTTGAGTGTGGCTCGACACTCCCCTGCTGTCACCTGTTGAGTCGACTTGGGAGTCTCCAGCTCTTGACTTTGGCCTCACTGTGCCCGACAACCCGCACGACTGTTTGAGTGTGGCTCGACACTCCCCTGCTGTCACCTGTTGAGTCGACTCGGGAGTCTCCAGCTCTTGACTTTGGCCTCACTGTGCCCGACAACCCGCACGACTGTTTGAGTGTGGCTCGACACTCCCCTGCTGTCACCTGTTGAGTCGACTCGGGAGTCTCCAGCTCTTGACTTTGGCCTCACTGTGCCCGACAACCCGCACGACTGTTTGAGTGTGGCTCGACACTCCCCTGCTGTCACCTGTTGAGTCGACTCGGGAGTCTCCAGCTCTTGACTTTGGCCTCACTGTGCCCGACAACCCGCACGACTGTTTGAGTGTGGCTCGACACTCCCCTGCTGTCACCTGTTGAGTCGACTTGGGAGTCTCCAGCTCTTGACTTTGGCCTCACTGTGCCCGACAACCCGCACGACTGTTTGAGTGTGGCTCGACACTCCCCTGCTGTCACCTGTTGAGTCGACTTGGGAGTCTCCAGCTCTTGACTTTGGCCTCACTGTGCCCGACAACCCGCACGACTGTTTGAGTGTGGCTCGACACTCCCCTGCTGTCACCTGTTGAGTCGACTTGGGAGTCTCCAGCTCTTGACTTTGGCCTCACTGTGCCCGACAACCCGCACGACTGTTTGAGTGTGGCTCGACACTCCCCTGCTGTCACCTGTTGAGTCGACTTGGGAGTCTCCAGCTCTTGACTTTGGCCTCACTGTGCCCGACAACCCGCACGACTGTTTGAGTGTGGCTCGACACTCCCCTGCTGTCACCTGTTGAGTCGACTCGGGAGTCTCCAGCTCTTGACTTTGGCCTCACTGTGCCCGACAACCCGCACGACTGTTTGAGTGTGGCTCGACACTCCCCTGCTGTCACCTGTTGAGTCGACTCGGGAGTCTCCAGCTCTTGACTTTGGCCTCACTGTGCCCGACAACCCGCACGACTGTTTGAGTGTGGCTCGACACTCCCCTGCTGTCACCTGTTGAGTCGACTCGGGAGTCTCCAGCTCTTGACTTTGGCCTCACTGTGCCCGACAACCCGCACGACTGTTTGAGTGTGGCTCGACACTCCCCTGCTGTCACCTGTTGAGTCGACTTGGGAGTCTCCAGCTCTTGACTTTGGCCTCACTGTGCCCGACAACCCGCACGACTGTTTGAGTGTGGCTCGACACTCCCCTGCTGTCACCTGTTGAGTCGACTTGGGAGTCTCCAGCTCTTGACTTTGGCCTCACTGTGCCCGACAACCCGCACGACTGTTTGAGTGTGGCTCGACACTCCCCTGCTGTCACCTGTTGAGTCGACTTGGGAGTCTCCAGCTCTTGACTTTGGCCTCACTGTGCCCGACAACCCGCACGACTGTTTGAGTGTGGCTCGACACTCCCCTGCTGTCACCTGTTGAGTCGACTTGGGAGTCTCCAGCTCTTGACTTTGGCCTCACTGTGCCCGACAACCCGCACGACTGTTTGAGTGTGGCTCGACACTCCCCTGCTGTCACCTGTTGAGTCGACTCGGGAATCTCCAGCTCTTGACTTTGGCCTCACTGTGCCCGACAACCCGCACGACTGTTTGAGTGTGGCTCGACACTCCCCTGCTGTCACCTGTTGAGTCGACTTGGGAGTCTCCAGCTCTTGACTTTGGCCTCACTGTGCCCGAAAACCCGCACGACTGTTTGAGTGTGGCTCGACACTCCCCTGCTGTCACCTGTTGAGTCGACTTGGGAGTCTCCAGCGCTTGACTTTGGCCTCACTGTGCCCGACAACCCGCACGACTGTTTGAGTGTGGCTCGACACTCCCCTGCTGTCACCTGTTGAGTCGACTTGGGAGTCTCCAGCTCTTGACTTTGGCCTCACTGTGCCCGACAACCCGCACGACTGTTTGAGTGTGGCTCGACACTCCCCTGCTGTCACCTGTTGAGTCGACTCGGGAGTCTCCAGCTCTTGACTTTGGCCTCACTGTGCCCGACAACCCGCACGACTGTTTGAGTGTGGCTCGACACTCCCCTGCTGTCACCTGTTGAGTCGACTCGGGAGTCTCCAGCTCTTGACTTTGGCCTCACTGTGCCCGACAACCCGCACGACTGTTTGAGTGTGGCTCGACACTCCCCTGCTGTCACCTGTTGAGTCGACTCGGGAGTCTCCAGCTCTTGACTTTGGCCTCACTGTGCCCGACAACCCGCACGACTGTTTGAGTGTGGCTCGACACTCCCCTGCTGTCACCTGTTGAGTCGACTCGGGAGTCTCCAGCTCTTGACTTTGGCCTCACTGTGCCCGACAACCCGCACGACTGTTTGAGTGTGGCTCGACACTCCCCTGCTGTCACCTGTTGAGTCGACTTGGGAGTCTCCAGCTCTTGACTTTGGCCTCACTGTGCCCGACAACCCGCACGACTGTTTGAGTGTGGCTCGACACTCCCCTGCTGTCACCTGTTGAGTCGACTTGGGAGTCTCCAGCTCTTGACTTTGGCCTCACTGTGCCCGACAACCCGCACGACTGTTTGAGTGTGGCTCGACACTCCCCTGCTGTCACCTGTTGAGTCGACTCGGGAATCTCCAGCTCTTGACTTTGGCCTCACTGTGCCCGACAACCCGCACGACTGTTTGAGTGTGGCTCGACACTCCCCTGCTGTCACCTGTTGAGTCGACTTGGGAGTCTCCAGCTCTTGACTTTGGCCTCACTGTGCCCGAAAACCCGCACGACTGTTTGAGTGTGGCTCGACACTCCCCTGCTGTCACCTGTTGAGTCGACTTGGGAGTCTCCAGCGCTTGACTTTGGCCTCACTGTGCCCGACAACCCGCACGACTGTTTGAGTGTGGCTCGACACTCCCCTGCTGTCACCTGTTGAGTCGACTTGGGAGTCTCCAGCTCTTGACTTTGGCCTCACTGTGCCCGACAACCCGCACGACTGTTTGAGTGTGGCTCGACACTCCCCTGCTGTCACCTGTTGAGTCGACTCGGGAGTCTCCAGCTCTTGACTTTGGCCTCACTGTGCCCGACAACCCGCACGACTGTTTGAGTGTGGCTCGACACTCCCCTGCTGTCACCTGTTGAGTCGACTCGGGAGTCTCCAGCTCTTGACTTTGGCCTCACTGTGCCCGACAACCCGCACGACTGTTTGAGTGTGGCTCGACACTCCCCTGCTGTCACCTGTTGAGTCGACTCGGGAGTCTCCAGCTCTTGACTTTGGCCTCACTGTGCCCGACAACCCGCACGACTGTTTGAGTGTGGCTCGACACTCCCCTGCTGTCACCTGTTGAGTCGACTCGGGAGTCTCCAGCTCTTGACTTTGGCCTCACTGTGCCCGACAACCCGCACGACTGTTTGAGTGTGGCTCGACACTCCCCTGCTGTCACCTGTTGAGTCGACTCGGGAGTCTCCAGCTCTTGACTTTGGCCTCACTGTGCCCGACAACCCGCATGACTCTGTGAGTGAGGCATGACATGACGCTTCCTTATTACCACCCCGGTACTTTGTTTTGTGCTTATGACGAGCACCAGCTCTCAAATCATTTCTTCCTGACTGGCTGTGGCTGTCTTGCCGCTTGCATCGCTATTCCTCATCTGCTCTCTTGCCTCTCCCAAATGATCGGCCAAACTCTTAAGACGTCTCAAAAATTGACTGACTTCCTTCACTGACTGGCTGTGGCTGTCATCTGCTTGCCGCTTGCATCGCTATTCCTCGTCTGCTTCCTCATCTGCTCTCTTGCCTCTCCCAAATGATCGGCCAAACTCTTCATCATGGGTTGGAGATTTCGTTTGGTCGGATTCAGGTTTGAGGTTCAGCCTCTCTTGTTCTGAGGTAGAACTCCCAGGAGACTCCCAGCATCCTTGAGATTGATTGAGTCGACTTTTGAGGCGCCTCAAAGGTAGAACTCCCATGAGACACTCAGCATCCATTCTATAAGACTGAGTTCATGTGAGACTCTCACCATTGCGGTCCCTGCCCAGCCCGTGTGTGATGAAGCGATTTTTGGGTTTTCTGGGTCGAATCTATTGTTCCATGCGATTCGCAGCTTCCATGAGGTTGAGAGTTCACATCCTCGCCATTGCTGTCCCTGCCCGTGTGTGATGAGGCGCTTTTCAAGTTACTCAAATATCACTCCCGTGCGATTCTCACTTCAAGATCACATCCTCGCCATTGCTGTCCCTGCCTCATTCCCGCCCTCTTTCCCAAGCAGGTTGACCTGTGTGTGCTTGTAACGAGCACCATCACCCCCACGTTTCCCCGGCCCTCTTTCCCAAGCAGGTTGACCTGTGTGTGCTTGTAACGAGCAGCACCACTCCCCACGATGCACAGCTCAACGAGGCGAAGAGGCGGCTTCTGGTGGAGGCGCAGCTGCTGCCGTGTGACTCTACCAGTGGCACCTTCTGCCGAGGTTTGCGTGTTGAGGCGCCTCCAAAGACACAGCCTGTTCATCTGTCCCCCTTCCCGAGCAGGTGGAGCTGTGTGTGCTTATAACGAGCAGCAGCACCCCCCATGATGCACAGCTCAACCAGGCCAAGAGGCTTCTTCTGAGGGAGGCGCAGCTGCAACCCTCTTCCCCTGCTTCTTTCCCTTGAGCAGGTGGAGCTGTGTGTGCTTATAACGAGCAGCAGCACCCCCCATGATGCACAACTCAACGAGGCCAAGAGGCGGCTTCTGGTGGAGGCGCAGCTGCTGCCGTGTGACTCTGCCAGTGGCGCCTGCTTTGTGCTCAAGTGAGTGGGTCAAGCAGAAGCAGTTGCTGTTGTATGAATACCAGTCATTGCCTGTATGTGTCAGAAGCCAAGCCATTACTGTAGAGAGAGTCAACTTAAGGGGGAAGGCGCGTCTGCTGCCGTGTGACTCTGCCAGTGGCGCCTCCTTTGTGCTCAAGTGAGTGAGTGTGTGAAGCAGAGGTGACTTTTGAGTCGACTCAAAAGTCTGCTGCCGTGTGACTCTGCCAGTGGCGCTTCCTTTGTGCTCGAGTGAGTGAGTGTGTCAAGCAGCGCAAGCTGTTGCTGTCTGTATAACAGTCGTTGCCCACTCAAAGGTCTCTTCTGGTGGAGGCGCAGCTGCTGACTTGTGTTTGTTAGTGGTACCGTACCTGCTTTGTGCTCACGTGAGTGGGTCAAGCAGAAGCAGTTGCTGTTGTATGAATGCCAGTCGGTGGCTGTCTCTGTCAGAAGCCAAGCCATTACTGTAGAGAGTCAACTAAAGGGGGGAGGCGTGTCTGCTGCCGTGTGACTCTGCCATTCTGCTCCAGTGAGTGCGAGTGTGAGTGTGAGTATGAGTCCGAGGGTGAGTGTGTGAGTGTGAGTCAGAGTGTGAGTGTGAGTTGAAGTGTTTGACTGTGTTTCCGATTGTGAGGGTGTGTCAGGATGGCCGAGTTGGTCTAAGGCGCCAGTTTCAGGTACTGGTCCGAAAGGGCGTGGGTTCAAATCCCACTCCTGACATCGTAGCCCAAACTTTTTTCACTCGTGCTTGAAGGGAAAAAAGGGGAGCCGTTGTTTCCTGTACAGCAATAGCTGTTGTCTGCACCAAAACGGGCATTCTGAGTCGAGTCGACTCAGGGGTCTCTTCTGGGGGAGGCGCAGCTGCTGCCGTGTGACTCTGCCAGAGGTGCCTGTTTTGTGCTCAAGTTAGTGTGTGGGCGTGCTGCAGCAGAAGCCGTTGTTTCCAGTGGTGGGAGCCTTTGCTGTGTAGTACCAACTCAAAGGTCTCTTCTTCTGGAGGCGCAGCTGCTGCCATGTGACTCTGCCAGTGGCGCCTGCTTTGTCCTCAAGTGAGTGAGTGAGTGAGTGAGTGAGTGGTTGAGTGAGTGCCGGAATGAGGGAGTGAGTGACTGAGTGAGGGCCAGTTTGGAATGTCCGCCGTGTGACTCTGCCAGTGGTGCCTGCTTTATGCTCAAGTGAGTGTGCGTGCGTGCTACAGCAGAAGCCATCGCTTTCTGTTTAGCAGTCAGTCGCTGGCTGTCCCTAACAGAAACCTTCAATGTAGTTGAGTCAACTCGAAGGTCTCTTCTCGTTTTTGAGAATTCTCAAAAACACCCTGCAGCATCGAGAATTCTCAAAAACACCCTGCAGCATCGAGAATTCTCAAAAACACCCTGCAGCATCGAGAATTCTCAAAACCACCCTACAGCATCGAGAATTCTCAAAAACAACCTTCAATGTAGTTGAGCCAACTCGAAGGTCTCTTCTCGTCTGGGGGAGGCGCAGCGCAGTTGCTGCCATATGACTCTGCCAGTGTTTTTTTTAGGCTGATTTTGAGAATTCTCAAAATCAGGCTAAAGAAAAAAGGAGGCGCAGTTGCTTGCTGCCATGTGACTCTGCCAGTGGTGCCTGCTTTGTGCTCAAGTGAGTGTAACTGTGAGTGAGTGGTGGTGTGAGTGTGGGTGTGTGAGTGTGGGTGTGTGAGTGTGGGTGTGTGAGTGTGGGTGTGTGAGTGAGTGGTGGTGTGAGTGTGGGTGTGTGAGTGTGGGTGTGTGAGTGAGTGGTGGTGTGAGTGTGGGTGTGTGAGTGTGGGTGTGTGAGTGAGTGGTGGTGTGAGTGTGGGTGTGTGAGTGTGGGTGTGTGAGTGAGTGGTGGTGTGAGTGTGGGTGTGTGAGTGTGGGTGTGTGAGTGAGTGGTGGTGTGAGTGTGGGTGTGTGAGTGTGGGTGTGTGAGTGTGGGTGTGTGAGTGTGGGTGTGTGAGTGTGGGTGTGTGAGTGTGGGTGTGTGAGTGTGGGTGTGTGAGTGTGGGTGTGTAAGCGTGGGTGTGTGAGTGTGGGTGTGTGAGTGTGGGTGTGTATAGCCTCGGTTGTGACTCCACCAGTGGCACCGCTTCCTGTGTGCGCAAGTGAATGTGTCATGAACATTCATCTCCTGACCTGACTCTGAATGCCTCCCGCCTGTCCTTCCTCCCTCCCACCCACCACACCAGGCGTATCCACACACCTGCCTCGGATGGGAGGGGCTTGCCCTTTGTTTTTTAAGTCGACTCAAAAAGCCGCCCGCCTCTCCTCCCTCTCCACCCACCAGGCGCATCGACACACCTGCCTCGGATGGGAGGGGCTTGCCCTTTGTTACTTGAGTCGACTCAAAAAGCCGCCTGCCTCTCCTCCCTCCCACCACACTAGGCGCATCGACACACCTGCTTCAGATGGGAGGGGTTTGCCCTTCGCCCTGCGAGCCATGGCACGTATCCTCACAGCTGCCAGTGACGAGCAGGTGAGCTGAGCAGTGATGGGTTATCAGCGGGTTACTCATGGGGTCAGCGATGGGTTAACAGTGGGTTACCATGTAACCATCGCACCGCGGTGCAGCATCAGATGGGAGGGGCTTGCCCTTTGCCCTGCGAGCCATGGCACGTATCCTCACAGCTGGCAGTGACGAGCAGGTGAGAAGCCATGGGTTACCAGCGGGCTACCAGAGTGTTACCATGTACCCATTGCACCAGGGGCTTGCCCTTGGCCCTGCAAGCAATGGCACGTTCCTTACAGCTGCTAACGAAGAGCAGGTGAGTAGCAATGGGTTACCAGCAGGTACACGACATGGCACCATGATGCATCCTATTAACTTGTGAGAATTTCTAGTAGGTAATTTAATAAGGAAGAGTGTTTGCCGTTTGTGTCCAAGGTGACTTAGCCAAAGTCTACACAGCCTGCAGTGATGGAAATACCTGCCACGTCCGATCGAGCACAAAGGGAAGCCTGGATTTGCTTCTGAAAAATCTCAGAAGTGATTGCATTCAAGCATCATCACAGCGATGGTAACTGCCACTCCACTTTAAGTTGGATTTTTTATATGACTACATAATTATTTATTTGAGAATTCTCGAAAGTGATTCAGACAAGTTCACATCGATGGTGACTGCCACTCCACGTCGAGCCCCTTCCTTCCCTTTCACCCCCTCGCTCCCCGCTTCTACCCCCTCCTCTCCTTATTCCCGCCCTCCGCTTTCTCCTGCAGCTGCATTTCCTGCGACAAGAGGGGAGGCAGCACAGTGGCACAGTGGGGAGACGACCAATCAGAGCGCAGGGAGGCGGCGGAGGGGGAAGAGGAGGGGGAGGAGGGGAGGTGGGTGGAGTGGAGGGGTGGGAGGGCAGGGCGATGGAGCTGCTGTTATCACTGGTGGAAGAGAGGATAGAGCACTTGATGGGTGCACGACAGGTGAGATAGGAGGGGTGCAGATGGGTGCAGAGGAATGCAGAGGGGTGCATAGGGGTGCACTGAATAGAGAGAGAGTAGAGCACATGATGGATGCACGACAGGTGAGGGGTCTAGTTTTGAGGCGCCTCAAAACTGAAGGTGGGTGGGATGGAGGGGTGGGAGGGCAGAGCGATGGAGCTGCTGTTATCACTGGTGGAAGAGAGGATAGAGCACTTGATGGATGCACGACAGGTGAGACATGATGGGTGCAGAGGGGTGCAGAGGAATGCAGAGGGGTGCATAGGGGTGCACTGAATAGAGAGAGAGTAGAGCACATGATGGATGCACGACAGGTGAGACAAGATGGTCAAGCAACACATGTGATGCTGGAATGCCAGGGTCGTTGTGTGGCTGCTGCTGTTGCTGTTGGAAGAGAGAGGAGAGCAGTTCATTGATGCATGCTGCAGGTCATAGGAAATGTTTTGAGTCGACTCAAAGCACGGCTCAAAACATGCTGCAGGTCATAGAAAGTAGTCGCATGCTGAAAAATGTTGTCGACCATATTTTTGCATTCTCGCATTCATTATTGCTGATCATCAGAGGCTCAAATCACCCACTATCGTTGCGAAAATAAAAGGCAAACAGTATGGTATGGGATTTTCTGTTGCAGGATGTGAAGGAATCGGCATCTCGTGTGGAAGAAAGCAGGCTAGTTACGGCTCTGCAAATCATTGACTGCCATTTGGCGGTCTTGCGTTCCATGGCGGCATGGCTGAGGCCTCGGGCTTCTGGGGGTGGTTTAGAGGGCGTCTTTGCCAATCCAGAAGCTCGACAGGGTTGGAGTTCTTTTAGATGAGGCAGGTTTTCAATAGTATTGAGTTAGTTGGATTATTATATGTGTTGCTAGGAAGGAATGCTTGTTGGTCATGAAGTGTAGGGTGTACCTGATCTGAAGGGAGGATACTAAGATCGCATTCCTACGCACGGACACCATCCGAAGTACTGCCACGCGGTCCGCACTGTCGAAAATCACATTTGAATGTTCCGCCACGCGGTCCGGGGTCTGGACACGTTCATCTTAACCGGCCAGTGGATGTGCGACCAGTTTGCACGTCAAGTGTTTTGCTGTGCGATCTTTCCATTATCCAATGCTCTCGAGACAGCTCAGCTGTCAAGAGTGTAATGTGTTCACTTTCGATGATTTCGCTGCCCCGGTGTGGCCATCAATATTGGTGCAGTGATTGTAATTTCAATACAGAATGTATTCACGCAAACACTATCGAACATTACGCGGTCATTGTTTTTACAAGTGCCCGAAAGTTAGAGCTGGCCGTTTCATTTTGGCGCCCCAAGGACTGTCGCTGCTGGACTACAGCCTATCGCGGGACACCCTGATTGGTCGCGAACAAAATTGACGCGTACGACAGTCAACCCCTGACGGACCCTGCCAACTGTCCAGAGTGGGGCCCTGCCCCACACGGACACCATCCTCACACCAAAACCATTCTGGTGGGCTAACTTCGGATGGTGTCCGGGCCCAGGAATTCGCCCTAAATGAGAGCGTGCATTGTCCAAGGTTCTGAGCTGCCATCTCGGCCACGTCATTCCCCCACGCGCACCCGTATTGGCTCCCTTCTCCAGGCCGACCCCCGCCCCTCCCCCCACTCCCCTCCTGCGCACACCAACCTCCCGCCCCTCTCCCCCTTCCTTTCCACACCACCCTTGTTCCCGGTCCGCCAATTGTGAATCTCCGCTAGAGGAAGGAATTCCACTTTTGCTCAAGAACTGGGGAAGGTGCCATTGCTGTCGGTGGTGCCATCCTGCTTCGGGATGGACGGACAGGATTCACTCGGAGACCTCAAGGAATCAAATCTTCTGCTTGGCAGGGGAAGGTAAATTCCAATTTGTCTTCTTTTCTTCAGCTCCCTTCTGTTGCTGGGGCAGGTCCTCCTATTCCCCTCAATGAAAGCGGTTGGCTACGGTTTTGTGCACTATAGAGCGGTTTTTTACCTTCACCGCCTTGAACCGTTACTTACCAGCCTGGACATTGTTACTACGGCTGACCCACCCTTATCTTACACCATCCTCTGGTCGCGTCGCGTCGCCGCCAGCCCCCCTCCATCCTCTTCCCTGCCTTGGCGTATCTCTGTTTGGAATTTTCTTGCTGCGTTGGACACAAGTTAGTAACGTCTATAGGTGGAAACTCTAAACTAAAAATCATTCCGCGAAGCATGAGGCAGCAAGCCTTCCGCGACGATGCGACGGTGGCGTGGCGCGTAGTTGCAACGTCGGCGCGTGCTGCCAACGAGGGTTGAACTTGAAAAGAAAGGAAGGAAGCAAGGGCAGGAGGTTGGGACGGGTTCATTTGTCCGCACGCTAGGGTCGTCGTCGTTCGTTGATGCATTGAAACCAAGAATGCTTTTGCTCCGATCCGAGCGCCTATCGCGGCACCTGCGTATATCACGCACCATCTCACCACACAACTGAGAACCGTACAGCACCCAGCACGGCACAGCATAGCACACCCCCCCGCTCGTCCACCCTCTCCGTTCAACACAGCATGTCATCACACATCACATCAGGCATCAGACGTGACGCGATGACACTCATCAGAAACCAATCAGCTTGTGCGGGCGGCTCTCCGTACGGATTGTCATAGTAGGGGCACCGAATGTCGACGCGCGTGTACAGAGCGATACATCACGATTGTACAGTGCGTTACAGGATCATCTCTTCAAAAGAGGGAAGCTTCTTTGAGAAGACAGCGTAATGCTGTTCCTACTGCAGCTGTCGCACCTATTTTAAGCCTGTTCCGCTACTAGCATCGTACTTATTATCCAGTGCGTCGCAAGATATCCGAGCTCCCTCACATAGCTCAACCCGTGCGAATTAAGCAACGATAGCAACTGCGACTTCGGCGACCACCGTCTCCATTGCGACGATCATCATGGTTGTGTCCGTCTCGCCGCCGCCGCGACGGCGCCTCACCCTCCAGGAAGCGCCGCTCCCGGCGCCTGCCGGCGCTCATGCTGCTTCTCGCGAGTCTCTTTGCCGCGCAGCTCGCGCCTCGCGCGGCAGCTGAACGGCCCTTCCCTGCTGTAGTCACATCTGCTGAGCCGAGTTCCTCCGCGGAGTCCGCGGCGCCCGTTACAAGCACGTCGTCGTTTGTCACGCACGTGCGCAGGCAGCTGCTGTTCGAGCGGATCAGCTGCGGCCGCTCGCCGCTCAAGGGGTACACGTCATCGAAGCGACTCGCTTCCGGGCGAGCAGAGCACGCAAGCAACTTACTCTCAACAAAATTCAAACCGTCAAAAGAATGTTCATAGAATGTATTGGCAATGCTGAAAGTACTTACAGGGAAACAATGTTGTTGGTTTATCTCGAGGAATGCTCAAATGTCGAGCATTCCTCGAAGAATCATTCGGAGGTGTGCATCAGCAATCTTCAAGCAGGTTCGGCAAGCACTGCCCCAGCAAACTACCAGCATTGCTCATCCTCACTACAGGAACCGAAACAAATCAGATAGGAACCTTTATAACGGATTGATTAATCACAGCACAATGAGGTAATCATATTCAACAAAATACGTATAATATAAAAATGCAAATTGGGTGCGCAGTTTTGAAATCGTTAAATCGTGACACATTAATTATATTACCGTATTTGTTGAGGATTGTAACTAGACGTATGTCTTTTCAACTCTACCATACATGACAAACATTCAACAATACCTGGTCGGCCTTAACATTTACACGGATATAGTAGCCCATTTTCAACCTATTTATATAACAGCATACATCATGCACCACATAGCAGATATGTAACATGCATTATTTAGCAGCTTACTTCTTGCGAGAGGGATCTGCAAAAAAAACAGCAAAATTAGGTCGACAAAGTACTAGCACGCTATGAAACGGGCGACAAAATAACGCCGTTCATGCACCAACCGATCATGGCTGCCATTCACCTGCTCGATGACACGCGGATATTAAGGAAGGCCTCGAAGAACCGTGATTTGCTCGATGATAAAATGAGGATAAAAATTGTGGAAAAAAAATCATCTTGGAACTGGAAACTTATACGCGTGCCGAGTTTCTCGGAAGTCGCTGGTACCGGTAAAGAGCGTTGTCACGCTCTATGGTATTCTGCGAAGACACAAGGGCGCATAAGACAATGAGTATTTGCGTGAATCCGAAACTCACCTGAGATGATCATGAATCTACGAGCGGGCGTAGGGAGTGACAAGGTAGCCTAATCGCCAGCTTCATCCGGCGAGTCAAACTTCAAAGCAGAAGCCGTCCGCCACAGAAGTCTTTCTATAGCCTGCAAAGGGGAGGATGCAAGAACAGAAAGACACACGTATTGAGTACGTGCATATGTCACCGAAACTAGGTAGATAGGAGCAGCCAGAGGACCTAGGAATGCAAGTAAGCACGAAATCGTAAGACGTGAAATGAACAGGTGCTCAGCTGTGGGTGGAGTTTGATGGAGGGGGAGAGGTGTGGTGTTGCGTCACACGTGCAGACTGTCGAAATCACGAAATGTTGCGAGATGGTTCAACATTTGAAAACTTTCGCTGCTTTGGGTTCAAAAGGAGCCTAACGAAAGTGGCGAGCTGGAAACCCTTTGCCTTCTGGGTTTCGGTTCGCCTCACTGATCCTAACCACATTCCCGCTGTCACATCTGAATGTGACAGCGCACCTTCAAACGTGACGCAGTTTTCTGACGCGTCATCAACACCAAATCTGATTCAAGTTACGCTATAGTCTGTTCTGCTATAACGCCAAAAAATCCCCGTCGACTTGATTCAACTGTCAAATTCATGCAATCTCGAAACCACTGTACACCCAACACAACCGAAGTAAATTCGATGTACGAACATAAATTGGCACGTGCGGGACGGTTTGGATGCGAACTGCTGGCGGCTGCTGAGACAATGGGGAAGGGGAGACATTGTTCCCCTATCTTTCAGCAAAGGTTCAGCACTGCTTACCCTCCTGAACACTGTTTCAAGTTACCGTAGGCATTGCCCGTGCAATGGTTAGTGCGCAAAGATGGGGAAAACTGAGATTTGGGCATACGCTGTGGCGATGTGAATTTTGTTGAGCTCTTGCGTCTGACTCATAGTCAGCTCCTTCAAGGAGTAAGGGGTTTTGTATTAATGCCACACACAGGCATTTTTCCTCTTCCCGCGTTCTAGACTCGGAGTCGCCTCCTTGCAAAATGCGCACACAGGATTTCACGAAGACAGAAGCGACTTCACAATCGAGAAAACTTTCCTCTGGGTGAGCAGACTCTTTGTGGCGACTCAAAGTCGCCTACATCGTGTACCATGGCGCACACACATTCTCACATCTCTCCTTCTCCCTTTCTCCCCTTCCAGCCTCGTTCTCCACGGGAAGGCCATGAGCGGGCGCAAAATAAAATTCGCTCTGGTGGCCCCAGGAACGGCTCCAGGAGGGTGGTTCGCCGTGGGGTGGACACCCGAGGGGCTCAAGAAACATCCTTTCGTTCTCCGTCCCCCTTCTTGTTTCCCCCCCCATCCCATCTCCCTTTCTCCCCGTCCAGCCTCGTTCTCCACTGGAAGGCCACGAGCGGGCGCAACATCAAAGCCGCTGTGGAGGCCGCGGGAGCGGCTCCAGGGGGGTTGGTCCGCTGTGGGGTGGTTTCAAGAGGCTCAAGAAACATCCTTTCTTTCTCCTTCCCCCTACTTGTCCCCGAACCCATACCATCTTCCTCGCTGTCCGGCCAGCCTCGTTCTCCACTGGAAGGCCACGAGCGGGCGCAAGATCAAAGCCGCTGTGGTGGCTTCAGGAGCGGCTGCAGGGGGGTGGTTCGCCGTGGGGTGGTCTCCCAAGGGGAAGATGGGCGGCAGCAACGCGGTGGCAATGGAGGATAGCAATAACCCTCCTGGCACGTACGATCTCGAAGGGACGTCTGCCGCGAACGCTGCGTCGTGGACCGTCGGATCGCCGTCGATCTCGTCTGCTGGCGGCAAGGTCACGATGAAGTGAGTGCTCTCTCGGGAGTTGGGATTCGGTTGCCCAAAGCAGGAGTGGTTGTTGTGGGGTGGCTAGCGGTGGGATGGTTCGGCAGAAAGGGGGGTGGATTGCAATGGTCGCCAAGGTGTCACATGAAAGAAGTTGATTTCTGAAATGTCTCAAAAGTCAACTTTCACGAGGGGGGTGGATTGCAATGGTCGCCCAGGTGTGACATGGACGGCCGCAATGCTGGTGCCTTGGACTAAGCTAGTAGCCCCCCCCTCTCAACTCCCTCCAAGAAACCCCCAACCCAACCCTCTCCCTCTCCCCCCCCCCCCCCCCCCCCCCACTTCTCCCCACCTCCTCTATCGCATGTACGACTTAGAAAGGGCTTTCAAGTGGACGCTCACACGTTGTTGCAGCAGGGCAGCAAAGGATGTTGAATCACTTCAGTTCATTTCTCACTGTTGATTGTGGGTTTGTCCTTCCGTGGTGCTGTGTCTGCAAGTGTAGGTTTACCAAGAACAAGGGCGATGGTGCATCTGTGAAGGTGAATGCCAACGGCAACAACAACATTGTGTGGGCGTATGGAGATGGCACTGCTGTGTCCTCGCACACCAACCGGTGAGCTTCTCACCTTGCCGTGTGGTCTGCTGTGTGTTCTTTCGCGTAGCTATCATATTGCGTGCATGTTGAGATGGTCCATTCCATTTGCGAAGCTGTTAATTAATTGTGTGTTATGCATTGATTAATTCTCTATCGCCCCGTTCTTGGTGGTCCTTGTGTGCAGTGGGAATGCGGTTGTGAATTTTGCATGTGGCTGTCCTCTTTTCAGAAACTGCTGAGGAACTTGTATGACTGTTTTCAACGTAATGACTGAGTGTATGCATCTCCAGAGTTAGCTGTATGAGATGTATTTGTACGAAATAGTAGTAGGTTCTACAATTAAGTATACTTGCAGCACTTCTCAGCATATCAAATTCAGTTGTACATTCAGGTCATCCTCCTGACTTCTTATCAGGCCACCCACCCACCTGCGGTCCGCCTGGCGGCGAACCGCGTCGTCAGGCATCTGATGGTGGTGTTGCTCGTCATTTGGCGACAAGAAAGTTCTGGAACCTAACTGTAACGGTTACGCTAAGTTGAGCTACTTGCTTTTGCTCTCACAGCGATCGTATAACAAGCCTGGCGACGTTCGCGAATGTGCATTGTAGCCAGAACCTGACGCCTCTCGCAACCAACCGCAGCCGCAGCATCCTCTCCACGGCAACCTGCAGTTGTGTGGATTCGTTATTCCACAGGAAACGGAAAACCAGCCCAGGTGATTAAGCATTACAGCACGGTTGAAAACGTTATGGCTCGTAAACAACTGTAAACCTTTCGGTTTCGCCACATCATGACATCGCGTTTTGTGTGGCCGTCGGTAACACGCAGCTCAGGCAGTGCAAAGCAAACACCAACTTCGTGGACACTTCGAAGTCGTGACGCCAAATTTGCAGTCTAGATGCTCCTGCAGCGTAGTCTGTTACTTTTCTTGAGACCTAAATAGTGCTGTAGTGATAGTCCAGAGAAACTGACTACAAGTAATATTGTAAACTTCCCGCGAAGCGCGGGACGTGACTCTGTGCCCCAGAAGCACCGTTTGTTTGTCATTTCGTTAGTGTCACGTTCAGCCTATGTGCAGATTTCGGAGCGTTGCTCGTCTCGGCTGTCCATTACTAGGTTTAGCTGGTCCACGCAACCGTGACGCTGGGGAGAAATGTCAGCCAGAGTTCCACAGCGACGACGGTGAACATACTAGAAGTTATTTGAGAAAACTACGCACTTATTACGGCCATGGCGGTGCCAGCCACGCGTAGATTCCCCCACCGGAGCCCGACAGCGCTCCTGCTTCCACTCGCGGTGCTGACGCTTGCCGCCGTCTCTGAATCCGCAAGATTAGCATCTGTGTCGAGTGTGGTCAGCACCTTCAGTAGTCCAAAACTTGTCAACGACTCGTCTCCGTCCTCTTCCTCCTCCTTCTCCTCTTCCTCCTACTCCTCCTCTTCTTCCGCCTCCTCTTTCGTCTCCCTTTCCTCCGCCTCTTCCACGGTCGAGTCGCACGATGACGTGGCAGAGCTGGAGGATGACGTGTCGGCTCCGCGGCGCATGATGCTCGCGCCCGGATGGATGCTTTGGCGAATGGCGAATTCTAACAGATGCCGCCCGTCGTCGCTCCAGGGTTACACGTCAAGTCGCAAGCTCGGCAACGGGTATGTGTGCGGGCGATGGGGGGTAACGGGTATGTGTGGTGGAGATGGGGGGTATCAGTCCGGGCAATGGGGCAACCAACGGGTTTATTCGCGGAGATACCCGCGCGCGCAAGGGAACTTGCGGAGTAACCCGCGCGTAACAGTTTCCGCGTCCACGCTTTCCCTTGGACCCTCCCCCAACCTCGTTCCTCTGCCACGCTGGAAAGCCACGTTCGCCGCGAGGCTGCACCTGAGTTTCGGACTCGGGCTCAGGTTCGGGCTCAGGTTCGGGGTGGTACCGAAACTGCCCCATGCCACCCGTTCGCTCCCCTTCCCCACACCTTTTTCCCAACCCTCCACCAGCCTTGTGCTGCACTGGAAAGCCGCGCTGGGCGAGAGGCTGCGAGCGGCGGTGCTGGCGGTGCTGGCGGTGCTGGCAATGCTGCGGACGGCCCTCCGTTCCCCCATCCCCACTCCCTCACCCCCCATCCCTTCCCCCACCCCCACCCCCACCCCCACCCCCACCCCAACCCCCACCCCCACCGCTCCACCCCTCCATCAGCCTCGTGCTGCACTGGACAGCCACGACGGGGAAGCGCCTGCGCGTGGCTGTGCTGGCGCGCGCGGAGACGGAAGCGGCGGCGGCGGGGTGGGTTGCCGTGGGGTGGTCCCCCAAGGGGGACATGGACGGGAGTGACGCGGTTGCGCGTGAGGCGGATAGCGCGAGAGAAGCGGAGAGAGAAGCGGAGGGGGGGGATAAACCTTTTCCTTATACTCCCCTGCCATCCCTTGCCCCCATCCCCACCCCCACCCCCATCCCTTCCCCCCATCCCCACCCCTACCCCCTTCCTCCCACCGCTCCTCCCCCCTCCTGTCAGCCTGGTTCTCCATTGGAGGGCGACGACGGGGAAGCGTCTGCGCGTGGCGGTGATGGCGCGCGCGGGGACGGAAGCGGCGGCGGCGGGGTGGTTCGCCGTGGGGTGGTCCTCCAAGGGGGACATGGACGGGAGTAACGTGGTTGCGCGCGGGGCGGACAGTGAGAGAGAAGCGGAGAGAGAAGCGGAGGGACTGGCTGGGATAGACCTCTTCCTTATACTCCCCTGCCATCCCTTCCCCCCATCCCCACCCCCACGCCCATCCCTTCCCCCCATCCCCACCCCCACGCCCATCCCTTCCCCCCATCCCCACCCCCACGCCCATCCCTTCCCCCCCTCCCGACCCCCACCCCTTTCCTCCCACCGCTCCTCCCCCTCCTGTCAGCCTGGTTCTCCATTGGAGGGCGACGACGGGGAAGCGTCTGCGCGTGGCAGTGATGGCGCGCGCGGGGACAGAGGCAGCGGCGGCGGGGTGGTTCGCCGTGGGGTGGTCCCCCAAAGGGGACATGGACGGGAGCAACGTGGTTGCGCGCGAGGCGGACAGCGCCCCTATCGCGTACGACCTGAGCGGGCATGAGGACGCCACGGAGGCGCGCTCGTGGGTGCCGCAGGACGCTTCGGTGGAGCATACCGGGAATGGAATTATCATGCGGTGAGTGCGGCTTGGGAGGAAGTGAGCGCGGCTGATGTTTGAGAACCTGCTCGCTCCATCGCGTACGACCTGATCGGGCACAAGGACGCCACGGAGGCGCGCTCGTGGGTGCCGCAGGACGCGCCTGAGGAGCATGTAGTTATTTTAGGTGAGTGAGTGCGGTTCTGAGGAAGTGAGTGCGGTTGTTTTTAGACGTCTCACAGGGCGGACAGCGGCCCCATTGCATCGCGACGACCTGAGCGGAAACGAGGACGCGACTGAGGTGAGGACGTGGGGGGTGCAGGACGCTTCTTCGGTCGATCATACTAGGGAACGGGGCCATTTTCAGGTGAGTGTGGTTTGGTGCGGTTGGGATGGAGTGAGTGAGGTTCTGGGGAGTGAGTTTGGTTGATTTGAGACGTCTCAGGAGGCGGACAGCGCCCCCGTCGCGTATGATCTGAGCGGAATCGAGGCGATTCTGGGGGTTGCACGTGGGGGTTGCAGAACGCTTCAGTGGGGCATTCTGCGATTGGAAACATCATGCGGTGAGTGGGGATGTGCGGAAGTGAGTGCGGTTGTGACAAATTGTGAATGGTATGTGCTTATCTGCTTTATAAACACAAATATTTGTGTCTGTACATTATAAAAAACATCTTATACAAATAAGTACTACGGTATCCCTGCGTCTGTGCATGTATCTATACCTGTATCCGATTCTCCCCCTCACTGCGCAACGCATGCAGGTTCAAGGGAGACGGGTCATCAGTGGGCATCAGGACGTGACTGCATCGTTGCTAAACCGGTCTACAATCTTCTGCATCCCTCCCCACCTCTCACTCTCTCCAACTCTCTTCTCCCCCTCGCGCTCACCGCGCAACGCCTGCAGGTTCACGCGCATCAAGGGGGACGGGTCGTCGGTTGGCATCAAGACGTGGGAGGGCTTTAACTACATCGTGTTTGCATATGGCATGGGCATCACCATCGGGGACCACCAGTACAGGTGTGCAAGTGATGTGTACTTGCGTGCTTTCTGGTGTATGGCTGTGACTGCACTCTGTTCGCATCTATGGGAGACCCCAAAGGCGTCGAAATCACTTGTGAGAATTCTCAAAACTGATTTCAGCTTTCTGGTGTATGGCTGTGACTGCGCTGTGTTCGCGTCTGTGGGAGACCCCAAAGGCGTCGCCCGCCCACTGCTGGTGTGGTGGTCCTCGATGGCTGGCTGTGACTGCACTGCGACTTCGTTTTTTTTCGCTTGCTCTGGTGTATGGCTGTGACTGCACTGTGTTCGCGTCTATGGGAGACCCCAAAGGCGTCGCCCGCCCACTGCTGGTGGTCCCCGATGGCTGGCTGTGACTGCACTGTGACGTCACTGTGACTGCGTTTGTTTTCACTTGCTCCGGTGTGTGGCTGTGACTGCACTGTGACTGCGTTTTTGTTCGCTTGCTCTGTATGGCTGTGACTGTGTTCGCGCCTATGGTATGTTCTCCTCCCCCCCACTCCCACTTCCACTCACCCTCCCCTATTTACACTGCCATTCTCTACAGGAACAAGATTGGCTTGACGTGTGGCTGTGGCGTGCCGCCTCATCCCCCTGCTACACCGCCTCAACTCCCCCCTCCCCACAACTCCCCCCCTCACAACTCACCCCTCTACAGGAACACAATGCTCATTGACTTCACGTGTGGCTGTGGCTTGCTGCGTTTCCGCTGCTGACATTCTCTTAGGGCGACCGCAACTGTTGGTGCTGACTCGCAAACTCGATGGCTTCAGCAGCAGCAGCACCGGATTCGGGCTGTAAGGAAATCCGTCTGTATTGAGGCATGCTATGCCCATTTACCAGCTTATGACATTACTGGGATCGCGGTCCTGAAACCTCTGCAGTGCAGTGGACTAATTGGTGTCATTCGTTTCCCCCCCACCCCCCCACCCCTAATTTATAGTGTACAGTCATTTCGATATTAGTGGAACAGCAGAGCAGTCAGAGTAGAGGAGGTGTTGCACAATGGCACACCTTGATTGTATTGATGTTTTAGGAAGGAACCATTATTTGGATTGTACGGTATTTTTTTAGTTCAAGCTAAAACTACTGAGTGCGGAGACGCTTTTGCTGTCAGGAGTGGCATAATATGCCTTTTATTGGATTCAGGAGCCTTGAACCACAGACATACTACTGTACTGGAAGTACAGTATATAGGCACTGTTCACCGGTGTTTAAATATCAGTGTATTTGTTAAGGGGGGATTTACTGTTCCCTTTGAACAGTACTTTCCAACTCACCCTTATCCTCATCTTCCTTGATTTCCTTGTGTCACGTGGCACTCTACTTTTCTTGCTTCTACTTTCTAGTCCCACGAAGTACTTTCCATCATTCGATCTTGCATGCTATATCAACCTTGCTTGTATTCCCCAATGTCAATCAATTCTCATTCAACTCTTCAATTACTCAGTTACCTCTTCGCCTATTTCGCCAACACTCTCTTTCGCCAAAGTCTTCCGCCGCATTTATCCTCAATTTAGTCAACCCCGCTATTCCTTAGCGGATTTAGGCCAAGGGGCCTCACAGTATCTGGTGTTTCATCAGCACATTTTGAAGAATAGCACCCAGCACCCGTTACAGGAGAAATCGACTGAAGTTGTACCTCTGTTGGAATTAGCAAGGAAAAGAGGGGAGCAAAGAATAGAGGGGTTAGCACCCAAGGAGCAGAACGACATGGAATCATGGCACCGGACAAATGAGTTCTCATCCCAAACCCACCTCCCGGAACCCATCACCCCATACCAATTTCCCCACGCTCATCTCCCCATACCCATCTCCCCATACCCATCTCCCCATACCCATCTCCCCATACCCATCTCCCCATACCCATCTCCCCATACCCATCTCCCCATACCCATCTCCCCATACCCATCTCCCCATACCCACCCCCCCATACCCATCTCCCCATACCTACCCCCCCATACCCATCTCCCCACGCTCACCCCCCCATACCAACCCCCCCATACCCATCTCCCCACGCTCATCCCCCCATACCCATCTCCCCACACTCATCCCCCCATACCCATCTCCCCACGCTCATCTCCCCATAGCCACATCCCCCCATACGTCGTGCGGTGCTCGGCAGTGGTCGACCATACATCGCCCCCATCCACCCACACCATCTACTTTCATACCGGCCATTATACCCCCACACCCATCTCCATCCCCACATCTCCTATACCTCTCCCATCATGCTCGGGAGTGGTTGACCACGCATCCCCTCCATACGCCCACACCATCTGAGTTTCCCACATCCCCAAACCCATCTTCATACCCCCACACCCATCTCCTACCCCACATCTCCCCCACCTCCCATCATGCTGGGTTGTGGTTGACCACGCTTCCCCTCCATACGCCCACACCATCGGAACTTTCTACATCCCCAAACCCTTTTCCACTCCCCCAAACCCATCTCGATACCCCCACATATCCCAGTGCCAGCTCCCCCTGTGAACTCCCATCATACTGGGAAATGGTCGACCACGCATCCCCCCCTTACGGCCACACCATCTGACCATCTCCATAACCCCCACCCTACTCCATCTCCCCATACCCACCTTCCCACACCCAACTCCCCATACCCAACTCCATCCGTACATCTCTCTTACCTCGCGTCATGCTGGGCAATGGTAGACCAAGCATCGCCCCCATACGCCCACACCAACTGCGACCGCCCGTGGGGCTTCACTGCATGCCCAAGCACTCATCTCCCCGACCCCCCGTCACCCCCCCTACCTAGCATCATGCTGGGCAATGGTAGACCAAGCATCAGCCCCATACGCCCACACCATCTGTGACCGCCCGTGAGGCTTCACAGCAACGTGCCATACCCATTCCTATATCCCCGTCCCCTGCTGCTCATATCTCCCCCTGTTACCTCGCATCATGCTGGGCAGTGGTCGACCAAGCATCAGCGCCATACGCCCACACCATCTGCGACCGCCCATGAGGCTTCACTGCAACGTCCCCCCCGTCGCCTGACGATCTCGAGAACCTGCCAACAGTAGCCAAACGGTGGTCAACAGTGGTCAACGATGGTCAACGGGGGTCAACGGTGGACAACCGTGGTCAACGGTGGTCAACAGTGGTCAGTAGTGGTCAACCGTGGTCAACAGTGGTCAATGGGGGGGTCAGCGTGGGTCATCCGTGGTCCAAGGTCGTTGGAATTGGAAACTTGATCATCAATTCGAGACGCCAAGAACAGACAACGAACTGGCATCAACTATTTCTGAGGTTGATAATTTCTCTAACACTCACTTCATAACAGTGCCGTGCGAGCTTGTAGTCTCTATCGAAGGAGACCCTATAGTGAAGCTCGTTGTAGCGTGGACGTTTGAATACCCGTCCAGAAAGTACCTCCCCGGGGTGTTGCTGCTTGGAACCCGCACAACCGCGTCTGATCCGCTCATTTGCCCGTCCGGCGTCCACCCTATAGCGAACCAGCTCTTAGCGGAGACGCTCCCTGCCTTCGCCTGTAGCGCGAGTCGCAGGGTGGATCCGGTTGGTGCCACCCAATGGAGTGTCAGACTGGAAAACGACAAAGCGAGCGAGGCGGTGCGGGGGCGGGGGGTAGGGGGGGGAGGGGGAGACGGGAGGAGAAAAGGAGATATATTCCAGAGGGTCAATAGTGGCCATGAATGGATAGGCGTGATGACGGTGGAGCTTTTCTGGGGCGGAGGTTGAATTGAACGTGGTTTTGAAGGGTAATCTTGTGACATTTTGTACAACATCGCATGACGCTTGAGTTATTCCGGGCAGAGTCGAACTAGGTGTGGATTTCGAGGCACACCAAGCCAGCGTGGAGGGGTGGGTGCTAGAGCCGAGTGCGCTACAGTTCACATCAAGAAAGGTGCGGAAGAGGGGGAGGAAGGGGACGACGGGGAGGAAAGTGCGGAAGGGCCGGACGGGAGGAGGGTTCGGAATGGGAGGAAAGGAATCAAGGCCGTAAGGGGCGAATTGGCGGAAGGGGGAAAAGGTGCGAAAGGGGCTGAATGCTCTAAGAACTCTCGAGAGCCAGTCGAGCATGATAGGAGGAGGCATGATAGGGCGAGTTTTGAGTCGACTCGAGAGTCTATAGTGCTCGCTATAGAGCGACTTGTGTCGTGTGATTTTTGGATTGTCTTCAGAAGCGGGCGGAACGGGACTTGTTCTTACCCGCCATAGACGACTTGTGTCGAGTGAATTACAACAAACTTACTTTCGCGTCAAGTCAAAAAGGAAAGAGAAGAGGGTCGGTCATACGTACCCGCCATAGGGCAACCCGCCTCGTGTGAATGAGAGAAAAGGGGGTCGGTCATATGTACCCGCATGTAGTGAGGCGATTTTTGAGGCGCCTCAAAAACCGCCTCATTACAAGAGGGTCGGTCGTACGTACCCGCCATAGAACGACTTTGAAGTAGTATATCCGGGGAGGCTCGACGGCTGGCATCGGCGGAACGCGCCCAGCACGTTGCGCAGAGGCGGCGGAAGAGCGCTCGCGGAACGCGCGGGGGGCGCGCTTTGAGTCGCATCGCCGGAGTGCGCAGAAAGCGTAGATTGCGCGGATTGCGCGGGGGGAGCGGGAAGCGTGGTTTGAGTCGTTTCAAAGGAGCGCGCGGAATGCGCGCAGGGAGGTTGCACGAGCAGCGCAAGAAGCGGAAGCGCTAGGCAGAGGAAGGCCAGGCGGTCGGCGGATGATAAACGTGGCCGCGGGGAACGCCGGCGGTAGATCGGCGGAAAGAGAGGTGAATTACGTCTAGGAATAGTCACGGAGATTAAACGTAATAGTGGGTGCAGAATGAACGTGGCATGCAAGTCTGAACTTGTAGCACGGCCGCAGCTGCCATGCGGAAACCTTTCCCTCGCACAGCACGTGTTTGTCGCACTGCGACGGCCTTCTCTGTCCGTCTGCGACGGCATCGTGTCGCCCGCTTTTTACGATCGAGGTCGACTCAACAAATTCTGCAGTCCTGCTGCGGCTCGCGCCCGTCTGCCGACTATCGAGGTGCCTACAAATCGTCTGTCGTTGCTCCGCCGCGCGGCGCGCCTTGCCGTCCTAATAAATATAGACGTCTCAGCCGTTATTTGCCGTCATTGTACTGATAACATATCCTGAGAACGGCATGCTTGCGAGGGCTAGCTTCTCGGCAGGCTTTAAATTGTCCGCTTTGACTGAAAGCTCAAAGTCATTCCGGACTGCTAGCACCTTAGGAGGCTATCGGCCGCTGCTTATACAAGATGCGGCGTGCGAAGAGGGCGAACAATTTGAGCGTGTGGCGTGGAGAGGGAATGCTAGATGCTGCATTGACTGCTGCGCTTTTCTCCATGGCTTTTCTGTTGCGGCTTTGCCCTGGCATGGCAACTGATGCACCTTCTATGGTGGTACCACCGACGGCTGCAGGAAATACCAAGCGGTACAGTAGCTTGCTGCTGGCGTGTACAGATGTCAGAGGGCAACGCTGCTCTCAGCTTTGGGGTGAGCGAGCGACGTGGGGTGAAATGTCGGTGTTTGAGAGATTCGGTTTAGGGGAGTCGTGGCGTGGGAGCGGCAAAGCAAAACCCTGGGCTGGCCTGAGGACGTGTCTAATTACACATTAATCTTCAGAACATTAGCCCGGTGTCAGTTTTCCGCAGATCAGCTTTCTGACACTCAGCGGACTGTTTTCTGAAATAAGGTGGGGTTGCGTTATGAAATCCTTCCCCAGTTTTGAAGTCCGCCAACGAAATCAGCACGTCGCGAAAACTGGGTGTAACGCCTTGTAGTTGACAGGTTCATTCCTGGCCCTGGAGCACCAGCCACGGTGCATTTTCCCAAGGCTGAACAGGCATTTCGAGACATTTCGAGCCGCGTCGTTTCCCTGGTGCGCCGCCACCGATCTGCAAAATCTTGGTGCCCAAGGTCACGTAAAATGAGAATTTTGCTCAAATCCGCGGAAGCGCGGATCGTTTTATTTTTGCCACGTGGCAAGCCTTCGATCGCGTGAACCGCGATCTGTTTTATTGTTCCCACAAAGTTCAAAAGAAACTTAGTTAAGTTTTGTACCGCGCTGCCCGCGGGCAAAAATAAAACCCATTCGGGCATGGCATGCGTTAGGGAGGGATCAACCCTAAACACCTTGCCTCTATGTGTTTAGGGTTGATGCATCCCTAACGCATGTTTTTCCTATAGGGGTTTTATTTTTGTCCGCGGGCGTGGCAGTACATGCGATTCACTAAGCCTAAATTGTGGGAACAATAAATCAGATCGCGGTTTCCACGATCGAAGGCATGCCACGTGGCGAAAATAAAACAAACCGCGATTTCACGGGATTGAGCAAAACTCTCACGTAAAATGGTGTCTACGACACGACACGACACGACACGACACGACACGACACGACACGACACGACACGACACGACACGACACGACACGACACGACACGACACGACACGACACGACACGACACGACACGACACGACACGACACGACACGACCAGTTGAAGTACAGTAGCACGCTGTCCTCACTATCGGTAAGTAAATGTTGAGTCCACGAGTATTATTTCAGAAACCTCCACAAGAAGGTGAAAACCAACAAAAATGACGATTTGTGTGGTATTCTTTGTACTTCAAATACCTCATTAGGAAGCAACATGGATCAGTGAGGTACGTGTTGAACCATAGGGCACTGCCTGGTGAAAGGCAAAACAATATTTATTACACACCCGCGGCATTTCAAACACACATTAGTCGTCCCGGCTTTTCAAACACACATTAGTCGTCCTCTTTCTAAGTGATGCAACCACACCCACGAGAAGTGGATCAAAAAGTCACTTTCCTGAGTTGGGCTAGAAGTAGAAGCTTAGGCCTTGCAAAACATGAAGCCAAGAGGTCCTTTGCATGGGTTGCAACCCAAGTTAACCTTGACGATGACACTGCACCAGCAAGCAAGTAACAATGAATAAGTTTCCACGCACAAAACAAGGAAAATGAAAAAGGCCACAACAAGAAGTTGCAAAATTATACAAGATGATGCATCATCCATGGAAATAGAGGATGAAAGCAACGAGCTAAGACATTGTACATGTAACAAAGATCGCCGTGTGACTTACTCATGGTCATGCTCGACGCTGGTGTCGTACTTATCAGACTTGACAACGAACATGAGGGTGTTTTTCCCTTTGGGCTTGATAGACACAGACCCACCATCCCCCACCTTCCGCTGAAACCTGAAAATAGGAGGGGGGAAAGAGGTGAATGATTAAATTCGGGATTTTGATTAACTTC